CGACGCCCGGGTGCGATCAAGGGATGGCTCCCTATTGGTCAACCACGTTATGTATGCCGATGATTTGGTAATAGCTGCTCACTCAGAGGAGGAGTTGGAGACGCTGCTGCTGAGACTGGAGCGTGCCACTAAGAGGTGGGGCCTTACCATCAGCCCCACCAAAACTAAGCACCTGCCTGGGTATTTTGTACCATCGGACACTCCACCCCCACAACTCCCAATTGGTGATGGGGCAGTTGTGGAGAGAGTGGAGAGTTTCCCATACCTGGGCAGTGTGCTTATGACCGGCTCCAGTCTATCAGCAGAGGTCTCACTCCGAATCAGTCGAGCGGCAATATCTTTTCATCGGTTGCGTAACGCTGTGTGGAAGCTACCTGGTCTGTCGCTCCGCACGAAGCTTCAGGTCTTCTCGGCCACGGTCATTCCCTCCCTTCTCTACGCTTGCGAGACGTGGACCCCCCTGGTGGAGCATCTTCGCCGGTTGGAAACATTTAGGCTGGCCTGCCTACGATCCATCCTGGGTTTAACCAGGCTGGATTGTGTGAGGAGCTCACAAATCCTTGAAAGATCTGGGCAAAGTCCCATCAGTGAGCTCCTCCGGCAGGCAAGGCTGCGTTGGCTGGGTCATGTAGCCCGCATGCCCAGCCACCGCATGCCTAAACAGCTTTTGTTCGGCCGGATCGAGGGGGCTAGACGGGCGCGGCACGGGCTGGAGAAGAGATGGAGTGATGTGGTACAGGAGGACGTGGAGCTGAGTGGACTTGCCGATGACTGGTACCAGCGGTGTCAAGATCGGCCTCAGTGGAGGAGGCTCGTGAAGGACGCTACTGGGCAGTTGGAGGCAGTCGCCCTCCAACAACAACGGAGGGCGGAGGAGCGACGCTCACAACAACGAGCGGAGCGCCGGGTGGCTAAAGCACAGCAAGTTGGCACAGTAGGGGGCACAGGTGGTGCATCAGCCAGTCATCTCGGTCATCTCGGTCAGTCGACCCGTGGCACCTGCTGGGTCTGCCCCGTGACCTCCTGCCAGCGGGCTTTCGACACTTCACGTGGCCTCAAGGTGCACTTGGCCTGGCACAAGCATCGTGGTGACGTCACCGCCACTTAGTGGCGAATGGCGGTTGTTGTTGTTGTTGTACGTGTCTGTTTCGTGTGTCTCAGCATCGCAATCACCCTCACACGTGGCCGAGCGAGGTGCCATGCCCCCCCGTGTCGACACGGCGAGTTCGTCGTACTCTGTGTGCGTGGTACGCCGTGTGGATGATGATGGATGCGCGTAATGCGCTACACGCGGTGTATGCGTGTAACGTGCGCACTGTGTCATACATTGCACGCTGTGCGGTGTAGAACACGGTGTGGATGTGTCGTGTGTATGTGCCCCGTATGCCCATCACGGTTTAATGTGTGTAAGTGTGGCACACTTGTAGTACCGTGTGTGTCGTGTGCGTGTCAGTGTGTGTGTGTCGTGTGCGTGTCAGTGTGTGTCGTGTGTGTGTAGTGTGTGTGTGTGTCTCAATGTGTGTGTGTCTCAATGTGTGTGTGCGTCAGTGTGTGTGTGCGTCAGTGTGTGTGTGTGTGTCAGTGTGTGTGTCGTGTGTCAGTGTGTGTCAGTGTGTGTCAGTGTGTGTGTCAGTGTGTGTGTGTCAGTGTGTGTGTGTCGTGTGTGTGTCAGTGTGTGTGTCGTGTGTGTCAGTGTGTGTGTGTCAGTGTGTGTGTGTCTCAATGTGTGTGTGTCGTGTGTGTCGTGTGTGTGTCGTGTGTGTCAGTGTGTGTCAGTGTTCAGTGTGTGTGTGTCTCAATGTGTGTGTCGTGTGTGTGTGCGTCAGTGTGTGTGTCAGTGCAGTGTGTGGTGTGTCAGTGTGTGTGTGTCTCAATGTGTGTGTCGTGTGTGTGTGCGTCAGTGTGTGTGTGCGTCAGTGTGTGTGTCAGTGTGTGTGTGTCAGTGTGTGTGTGTCAGTGTGTGTGTGTCAGGTGTGTGTGTCAGTGTGTGTGTCAGTGTGTGTGTCACAGTGTTGTGGTCTCAGTGTGTGTGTCAGTGTGTGTCAGTGTGTGTGTCAGTGTGTGTGGGGAGCGGTAGTGTAGCGGTTAGCGCGCTGCGCTATGAACCTGGCGACCCGGGTTCGATTCCCGCTCACGGCTAACACCAGTGACGATTATCTGAACCGGTCCTGGGCCTCCCTAGGTCGACTCAGCCTTAAATGAGTACATGGTGCGGTGTGTAAACATCGCCACTAGGGAGACAAAGGCGGTCGGGCGTGGTGCTGGCCACCCCACCCCCTCGTGTACCGTTTCCGGCCTTCATAGGTGCTCGCTAACAGCACTTGCCCCTACAGTCTGTTCAGGCTATACGGGGGATCTTTGTCAGTGTGTGTGTGTCGTGTGTGTGTCAGTGTGTGTGTGTGTGTCGTGTGTGTGTGTCAGTGTGTGTGTCAGTGTGTGTGTCAGTGTGTGTGTCAGTGTGTGTCAGTGTGTGTGTCGTTGTGTGTGTGTGTGTCATGTGTGTGTGTGTGTCGTGTGTGTGTGTCAGTGTGTGTGTCAGTGTGTGTCAGTGTGTGTGTCGTGTGTGTGTCGTGTGTGTGTCGTGTGTGTGTGTCAGTGTGTTGTGTGTATTCCGGACGCGTTCCCCATATTCGGACGAAATCCGAAAACCGATGGCCCCGATGCAACATTTCGGACGATCGGGGGGTACTGTGACGTCACGCCCGCCCGTAATTTTCCCGCCAAAATCGGTGGCACGCGGCGCCGGTGACGTCACAGCGGCGTTAGCACGAAGGCACGTGGCGTGGCGTGGCCCGAAACGCGGAAAAATCTCCGAAACTGAACCTCACGGCGGGACCCCGGGGTCCCATGAGCCCCCCGGCTCTCGAATAAACTGCGTTGCGACGTCATTTCATGTCTGTTGAAGGCGAACGACGCAGCAATCTATTCCTCTCGACGAGCTCTGCACGTTGCACTCATCAAAGTTTCAAAGTTTTGTTTATGACTACGGCAATTTTGGCAACGACGGGTGCTTGGTGAAGAGCGAGATGATTGATTTCTGGCGGGTCGCGGCGTTTATGTGCGAGTTGGGATGGAGTCGCCAAAAATAAATTAAACGATTACGATTTTGACTTCCGTTTATTAGGGACCCCGGGGTCCCGCCATGAGGTTCCGATGTCGAGTTCCAAAGTCGCCCGCCGTGTGTTGCGGACACTGCAGTGCTCATTTACATGCCAGGAGTGTAAATGCCACATTCCTATGGCGGGGACGAGGCTTATCGATCCATAGGACAGCCATCGTTGACAACCACAACATGATATCGCTTTTTTATCGACCCGGAGGAGCGATGATGAGCCGAGTCAACCCCTCCATACTCACCGTTGTGCATGGACACGATGCGTAGTATAATAAGACACTGTGTGCGTGCAGTATGTGTATAATCTGTATGCACCATAGTTAGCCACGATCTACCCACTGCTGGATGAAAACATCCCCAAGCCTGGTTAGCCGTGGATAGCTCCACGGCGGACGACCCGGACCCCTCTCTCGGCGCCAGCTGTTTCCTCGCGGCGGCTTGGCTCCGGGATGGGGGAGCGGGCAGGCGACGCGTGACTCCGGCGATTCACCCCCCTCCCCGGGGTCAACTCAGCCCCCGGGAAAATGCGACGTAGGCCCCCAGCCTCCACCCCCCCACAGAGGGTCCAGCCCCCCCCCCGCCCCTCGTCTCCCCAAGAGCGCGGGGGGTGTCCGCATCCAGAACTCTTCTCGCTATGGACGTGGCCACAACGACCACTGCCAGTCACGTGCCACCTCCTCCAGGTGTTACCACAGCGACCCGGAGTTCCGTGGCAAATTCACCACTGCCCCCCCCCCCTCTCCAGAGCCCCCCCCAAATCCCCCGCGAGTCGCCACCCCTCCCCCATTACTCGGCCTCTCATCCACCACGTGGTTCAGCAGCGGCAGCATCATCAGCAGCCTCAGCAGGTGCGAGCGGGCCACGTGGTCGTGTCGGTTGGCAGGGGGAGAGCCCGGGTGGGGGCGGGAGGGGAGTGAAGATCGCATCACGTGACTCTCACCTGCACCTGCCGACCCGGCGAGTTGAGTCGCTCGCTCGAGCGGTCGCGCTCATCCCTGGCGGTGACGCGGGTTGCCGCGTGTCGCGAGTTGGAGATGTGTGTTGCAAGACGATGTATGTTGCTAGCTGTGTGTTGCTAGGTGATGTGTGTTGCTAGGTGATGTGTGTTGCTAGGTGATGTGTGTTGCGAGGTGATGGGTGTTGCTAGGTGATGGGTGTTGGTAAGGGATGTGTGTTGCGAGGTGATGGGTGTTGGTAAGGGATGTGTGTTGCTAGGTGATGGGTGTTGGTAAGGGTTGTGTGTTGCTAGGTGATGGGTGTTGGTAAGGGATGTGTGTTGCTAGGTGATGTGTGTTGCGAGGTGATGGGTGTTGCTAGGTGATGGGTGTTGGTAAGGGATGTGTGTTGCTAGGTGATGGGTGTTGGTAAGGGTTGTGTGTTGCTAGGTGATGGGTGTTGGTAAGGGATGTGTGTTGCTAGGTGATGTGTGTTGCGAGGTGATGGGTGTTGCTAGGTGATGGGTGTTGGTAAGGGATGTGTGTTGCTAGGTGATGGGTGTTGGTAAGGGTTGTGTGTTGCTAGGTGATGGGTGTTGGTAAGGGATGTGTGTTGCTAGGTGATGTGTGTTGGTAAGGGATGTGTTGCTAGGTGATGGGTGTTGGTAAGGGATGTTTGTTGCTCGGTGATGGGTGTTGGTAAGGGATGTTTGTTGCTAGGTGATGGGTGTTGGTAATGGTTGTGTGTTGCCCTCCTGCGTGTTCACTCACTGCTGTGATGCACACGGCACACACACTGACGGTGTCAAGGCTCCACGGTGACTGAACGGTGACACGTGGTATCGTGATATGGGCTGGGCCTCCTTTAGGTTAGCTCAGACTTTAAATGAGTATGGGGTATGAATGTGTTCGCCCTGTGTCCCCCCCCCCCCGTGCCCCCCCCCGAGCAGCAGAGACCCCCCGCGATGTCGCGCCCCACGCTGCCGCGCTCCCCGGCGTCGCCGCTCAACTCGCAGGGCATCCCGGCGCCCGCTCAGCTCACCAAGTCCAACGCCCCCGTGCACATTGACGTGGGCGGGCACATGTACACCAGCAGCCTCGCCACGCTCACCAAGTACAACGACAGCCGGTGAGTGGCGGCGGCGGCACATTCATCATTGGCGGCACATTCATCATTGGCGGCACAATCATCATTGGCGGCACAATCATCATTGGCGGCAGCAGCAGCATTGAAATCGGCAGCAGAAAAATCATCGCGATCGTCGCCATCAGGAGCATCGCCATCATCGACACCGGCACATGAACACGTGCAGACAGATGCGGCGCTGCAGAGGGACCTGGTCCCTTGGTCTCCTTCTCCCGGTCCCCGTTCCTGGGTCCCGAGTCCCCGTTGCTGATCAAGTTACCCAGCCTCTGATCCCCAATCCCCACGAGGCCCGATCCCTTGGTGCCAATTTCCCTCATGCCCTGGTCCCATACCTTGACCTCTGCTCGCCATGTGCCCCCGTGCCCCCACCCCCTCCCCCAATCCCGCAGGATCGGGCGGCTGTTTGACGGCACAGAGCCGATCGTGCTGGACAGCCTCAAGCAGCACTACTTCATCGACCGCGACGGGGAGATGTTCCGCTTCATCCTCAGCTTCCTGCGCACCGCCAAGCTGCTGCTGCCCGAGGACTTCAAGGTGCAGAGCCCGGCTGATGGTGGGGGGAGGGGGCAGGAGGGCAGGAGGGCAGGGAGGGTTCACCCCTTGACCTCTCTCCCCTGCCTTCTCTCACCCTTTGACCCCGCGCACTCGAGGTCACGCTCTGCCGGATCGCGACATTAGGGGTGGAGGCGGGGGTCCCTGCCTGCCTTCGGCGGTAGCAGCAAAAGGGAGCAGATTGCATCATCAGGCATGTGCGGTGCCTAACACCGCGATTTTGGTCACGGCGCGGAGCCGCGGCGAGGACCGACGGAAACCAGCTCCGTCCGGCGCGACGCCTAATCCCCACGCGATCCACCCATCCCGGTCGCGAGGTTAAAGTTTGGGTGGGGGGGGCGGTGGGCAGATCCGGAGGAGTTCGAGGCCTCCGCCAAGATCAGGCCGCGGTGCTCTCCACGCTCCTCCTCCCCGCCAGGGTAGCCGCCGTTGCTCGCCGGCGCCCGCCGCAGCCGGCGGTGCCGGCGGCTGCCGTGGGCGATCGTCACAAAGCGCCAAAGTTGAGGGGCTGGCAGCGACCCCCGCGGATCCGGAGAGTTTGCGAGGCACCGTCCTACGTCGTCGTCGTCGGCTCAATCCCTGCGTGGTCCACTAACCCCGCTCTTGCGCGTGCCCTCCCCGCCCCGCAGGACTTCAGCCTGCTGTACGAGGAGGCGCGCTACTTCCAGGTGGCGCCGCTGGTCAAGGAGCTGGAGCGGTGGCGGCAGGAGCGCGAGCTGGCCAAGGTGAGCCGCCCGTGCGACTGCCTCGTGGTGAGGGTGACGCCCGAGCTGGGCGAGCGCATCACGGTGAGCGGCGACAAGGCGCTCATCGCCGACACCTTCCCCGAGATCGGCAACGCCATCTGCAACAGCGCCAACGCCGGCTGGAACCACGACTCCACGCACGTCATCCGCTTCCCTCTCAACGGCTACTGCCGCCTCAACTCCGTGCAGGTGATGACTCGCTCGCCTGCTCGGGGCTGGGGGGTGAAGGGTGAGGGGTGTGAGGGGTGAGAAGTGAGGGGGTGAGGGGTGTGTGAGGGGTGAGAAGTGAGGGGTGAGAAGTGAGGGGGTGAGAAGTGAGGGGGTGAGGGGGTGAGGTGTGAAGGGGGTGAGGGGTGTGTGAGGTGTGAGGGGTGAGGAGTGAGGAGAGGTTGTCTTCGAGGAGGGACGTCAGAGCCAGGCGGAGGAGGTTGTGCGATGACGTTCCGGTCTCCTCCTCAGCGGTGAGTCACCGTCCATGGTGCCCCCCCCCCCCCCCCCCCCCCCCCCCGTGGCAGGTGCTGGAGAGGCTGCTGCACCGCGGCTTCTCCGTGGTCGGCTCCAGCGGCGGAGGCATCGACTCGTCCCAGTTCAGCGAGTACCTGATGCGCCGCGAGGTGCGGCGCGCACCCCAGCAGCACACCGCCGTCATCCGCATTAAGGAGGAGCCCCTGGACTGAGCGGGATGGACGGGGGGGGGGGGGGGCTGATGAGGTTCGTGGGGGACGCGTCGACATCGAGGAAACCCCTGGACTGGGAGAGCTGTGGGGAGCAGGGGGGGGGCGGTGGGGGAAGGGTGGGGGTAGAGGAGACGGTGGGGGGGGGGGGGAAGGGGAGGGCACGGGGATTGTGGAAGACGATGTGGTGGTGGTGAAGGGTGATGAGATCAAGAAGATGGGGATGAGACTCAGTGCTGACAATGATGGTGGGATGGGAGGGTCGTGATGATGGTGCTGGCGAAGATGATGATGACGGCCGTGGAAGATGAAGAAATTAAGAAGTTTACGAGCGTCGCTATCGGTGGCTGTGATAATGCCATGAAGAGTTTAACGAGAGAAGCTGCTGATCGCGGTGATGATGATTGATGAGCTGGGTGGTGGTGGTGATGCACCACTTGTGCGCTCCATGCTCGGTCAGAGCTCAGGATGTGAGCATGTTGTTTCAGAGGGAGACGGAGAGACAGACAGAGAGAACGTAGAGTCGGAGACAGACGAGGAGGGAGAGAGAGGAAGAGGGAGAGGCAAAGCAAACTCACAAATCTCTCGTTCTTTTTAAACTTCGCACTCCTCCGCGAGTCTCGTGTCTCCCTCCGTCTCCCTCTGCCCCCGATGCATCCGTGTCTCCCGGTGTTCCCGTCTCCCTCAATGTCTCCCTGTTTCCCCGTCTCCTCTTGCACCCCCCCACCCCCCGTTCCCTCCCGTGCCTCCCCCAGCACCCCACCCCCTGCAACCCTCGCCACCCACCCCACTGCAGAAGCTTTGCGCGCGACTTCACACCGAGTCCGAGTGACCCAGGACCGCTTTGCCGAGTCTCAAGGCTCGTTTTCTCGACAGTCCCGCTACTTTGGGAATTTTAACCAACTTCCCCCTCCCCCTCCTCTTGTCGTCGTCGCCGCCGCAGCCCCCCGTCTTTATTTTCTGAGTATTTTTTAATCGCGGAGAAACCCCCCCAGCGCGCAAGGGGAGAGGAGCGTGGAGGAGGCCGCACGCGTGGACGCCCTCTTCTCCCGGGGTCTCCCGCCGTCTCCCGCCCGCTCTCTCCAGTGCGTCACTGCCACTGGCCGTGTTCACTCACGGGGGCCATGGCCCAGCGAGACGTGGCCCAGCGAGACGTGGCCCAGCGAGACGTGGCCCAGGTGCGTGCGCCACCTGGCAAGTGGCCCACGCGAGTGGGGAGCGGGTCGCGCGCTCAGCTACGAACCCGACGACCCGAGTACGATTTTCGCTCGCGGACAACACCGCTGACGATGATATCAGTCGGTCTTGGGCCTCCCCTCGGTCGGCTCGTCTCAAATGAGCACCTGGTGTGGTGTACACATCGCCACTAGGGAGACAAAGGCGGCCGGGCGTGGTGCTGGCCACCCACCCCCTCGTGTGCCGTGCTGGCCTTCGTCGGTGCTCGCTAACAGCTCTTGCCCTGACAGTCTGTTAAAGGCTGCATGGGGGATCTTTATCTGTGTGTACACGTGTATGTACGTGTGTCTGCGAGCCGCTCATTTCAAAAAGTCGATCCCATCCCTGGGGTCAAGAGTTGAAAGCAAGTCGCCATACCGACTCCCTCCCCCCCCCCTTCTCCCTCCCCTCCTCGATCGATGGACGGGCGCGATGTTGTATTTATATAAACGATGGCGATGAGGTTGATAACGATGATGACTTCAGTCCTCGCGACCCCACGGCCACTCTGAAGCCCCCGCAGGAGGCAGAGGCGGGAGTCCGGGTGGCGGGACGTGGGAGGCGGGATCGATGTGGTGCGATGGTTGACACCTTGACACGTGACACAGGTGTGACACCACGTGACACAGGTGTGACACCACGTGACACAGGTGTGACACCACGTGACACAGGTGTGACACCACGTGACACAGGTGTGACACCACGTGACACAGGTGTGACACCACGTGACACAGGTGTGACACACCTCGACACGTGATACAGATGTGACGCCACGTGATATACAGGTGTGACACCACGTGATATACAGGTGTGACACCTAGACACGTGACACAGGTGTGACACCACGTGACACAGGTGTGACACCTGAACCTGTGACACAGGTGTGACATCTAAACACGTGACAGGTGATTGATTTCTAAACGGGGCATGCCTGAACACGTGACTGGTGTGATATCTCAACACGTGACAGGTGATGGCTAAACACGTGACACCTGAACACGTGGCACAAGCATGTCACTTGATAGTTGTCACCGAGGCGTTGGTGCGATGTCCTGGTGGTCGATGAAGTTCGTACTTTTGTGTATAATAATAAACAATAAAGAAAAGCAGCTGTAAACCCTGGCGCGTCGCACTGCGTGTTCCTGGGGAGAGGCGGGCAACCAGGCAGCGTGTTCCTGGACGGGCGGGGGCGTGGGGGCGAGGCACAGTGCCAACCCGTCACAAGACAAAGGACCCCCCTCCCCCCTTGACAGACTGTTGGGGGTAAGGGCTGTAAGAGAGCACCTCTCAGTGACACACACCTCCATCAAGGGCCGTCATTTGCTGCCAAGCAACTTCAAGTGTGGAAGACTGCACTGCCGACACGAGACGAATGGCAGGATGCATCACCGCCCCCAATATAAGATGTGACGCGCCACTGTCGGCAAAAGACTGCGATTGAAGAGAGGATGGCGCAGAGAGAACGTGAATCATGGCCACACACAAAGATCCCTCGCGTAGCCTCAACAGACTGTTGGGGCAAGTGCTGTTAGTGGGCACCGATGAAGGCCGGCATAGTACACGAAGGGGTGGCCAACACCACACCCGACCACCTTTGTCTCTCCAGTGGCGATGTTTTTTTTACACCCCGCACCAGTCACTCATTTGAGGCCGAGTCGACCTATGGGAGGCCGAGGACCGGTTCAGATAATCGTGACTTCGCACGCACACTCCACCACGACTTCGCAGCCACGTCCAAAAACCTCGGATCCATTATTTATTACCAAAAATATGAACACAATTCTCAAAGGTGTGACAACGTATATTCTATCTTTTTGTTTTCTGTCCAAAAAAGAGCGCGTAAAACTATGTACAGGGGAGGTGGGAGAGCCGTGGGGCGCCCGCTCGCTCGCTCGCCCGCCCTTCGTCGTCGTCCGTGAGAGACTGGAGCCGGCGCGGTCCACGCTCGCGGAGATGCAGCAGGAGTCGTGAGAGAGATGCCCGAGCATTGCGCAGTGCAAACAATTTTTTCGTAGTAGAAATTTCGCTGGGATTGGCTTGAGAGATGGGTTCCTTCCGTGCGGAGGCGAGACGCACACCGTGCCAACATCACGAACAATACCGAGGACGATGGTGGCGATGACGGCTGCTGTGGGGATGGTGGTGACGACGACGGTGGTGGTAACGATAGCGGGGATGTTAATGGTGATGATTGTGGTGTGACGATGGTGACGATGGTGGTGATGGCAATTTTGATGATGGTGATTGTGGGGATAGTGGTGGTGATTCTGGGGATGGTGGTGGTGGTGACGGTGATTGTGGGGATGGTGGTGGTGATTGTGGGGATGGTGGTGGTGATGACGGTGATTGTGGGGATGGTGGTGGTGATGACAGTGATTCTGGGTATGGTGGTGGTGATTGTGGGGATGGTAGTGGTGGTGATGACGGTGAATGTGGGGATGGTGGTGGTGATTGTGGGGATGGTGGTGGTGATTGTGGGGATGGTGGTGATGACAGTGATTCTGGGGATGGTGGTGGTGATTGTGGGGATGGTAGTGGTGGTGATGACGGTGATTGTGGGGATGGTGGTGGTGATGACAGTGATTCTGGGGATGGTGGTGGTGATTGTGGGGATGGTAGTGGTGGTGATGGTGATTGTGGGGATGGTGGTGACATGAAGGAGCTCCCCCCTCTGTCCCCCACAAGTCATCATCATTATTATTCTTGGCCAGTGGGGGGGGGGGGCGAGGAAGGGAATTTGGGTGGGGGGCGGGGGGGCATGGGAGAGAAACATCACAACAGCAAGGGGGGGGGGGTGTGGGGCTGATAAATAAACAAGGAAAAATCAGGCACACGCACGCGTGTACACTCGCCATGCGCGTACTCTCTCTCACCATTCACACTCGCCATTCACTCTCACCACGTACATTCACTCACCACGTGCGTACATTCACTCTCACCACGCGCGTACATTCACTCTCACCACGCGCGTACATTCACTCTCACCATTCGCGTACATTCACTCTCACCACGCGCGTACATTCACTCTCACCATTCACTCTCACCACGCGCGTACATTCACTCTCACCACGCGCACGAGACTCTCCGCACAGCGCTTCTTCCAACAGCTCCCCCCCCCTCCACCACCGCCCGCTCCCCAGCAAAGCAAGTGGGGGGGGGGGGAAGGCAAAAGAGGGGTCCCACTGAGCCCCCCCCCCCTCCATTAGCACCATCCCAGCTACAAGGACAGACTCCATGATTCTCTCTCCTCCTCCATCTTCCCCTCACCGGCACCACCGCCGCCGCCGCCACCACCACGGCGTCAGCGGCACCGGCGAAGAGAATGGGCCGAGTCGTCGGGGCGGGCGCCGTCTCGCGCCTGGGGAGGGCCGGGCACGTGGACGGGAGAGAGGGAGGGAGGGCGGGCGAGGGGGGGGGGCAGCGGCGAGGGTGGGGGTCACTTGAACAGCGCCTGGAAGAGCAGCAGCGAGTGGCTGCCCTCGCGCTCCTGCTCCAGGTAGAAGACGAGGTCCCTGAGGTTGACGCGGGTGATTCTCTGTCGCGAGAACGGCCTCGGCGCCGGCGTCCCGCTTGCCCCGCCGGCGCCCGATGGCCCCTGACCGGCCCCCGCCGCCCCCCCCGCCTGGGACAGCGACGACGACGACGACGAGGCGGCGGACGAGGAGGAGGACGCGGCGGCCGTCGCCGCGCCGGACGCCGCTCCGCCCTGAGGTGGGGGACAGGAGGACGACAGGGGGAGCGCGAGGGAACGGAGCGGGCGGGGGGACGAGGCGGAATGGGAAAGAGGAGCAGTGGAGGGGAGGGAGGAGGTTGGGTCGGGGAGACGAGGAGGCGGAGGAGAGATGAAGTGCAGGAGGAGGAGGAGAGGGGACACGTGAGGTGAGGAACACCGAGTGACAAGGTCGGCAGCCTGCTGTGTTCGCTTCATCCATCACCACTCGAGACTCAGGTGTCACCTCACAGAGGTCGTCCCATAATACACTCGTCCAACTAGCAGGGAGTTTGGGGCCTAATGCGTCGCTTACGTGGAAGTCAACTATTCCACCACCACACCCGCTACCCACACACAAAAGGGACAGCCGCCATTCGCCACGAAGTGACGGGGATGTCTCACAACAGAAGTGCCACACTCATTGACACCACGTGAAGTGTAGAAGGCTGGCTGGTAAGAGATCAGAGGGCAGGCTCAGGTGCCATGGGTTGACTTAGATGACCGGCAGATGCACCAACTGTGCTTTTAGCCGCCTGGCACTCCGCTCGTTGTTGTGAGCGTTGCTCCTCCGCCCTCCATTGTTGTTGGAAGGCGCCTGCCTCCAACTTCCCAGTACCGTGAGCCTTGTGCGCAGATGACGATCTTAACACCGCTCGTACCGGTCATGCGCAAGCCCAGATCCAAATCGTCTCATATTGGACTAGCCCATCTCCTCTCTAGTCCGTGCCGTTCCCGATCAGCCCCCTCTATTCGGCCAAACAGAAGCTGCTTGGGCATATGGTGACTGCCCATGCGAGCTACATGACCCAGCCAAAGCAGCCTTGCCCACCGATCTTTGAGCTTCTTGCACAACCCAACCTGGTGAACCCAAGGATGGGTCGTAGACAGGGCAGCCTGTATGTTTCAAGAGGGTGCAGGTGATCTTGTAGCGGGGTCCACACACACACACACCGTCTTGCAGACAAACATACAGTCACACATACAGACACGCAAAAAATACAAAGAGCAACGCGCTCCGCTCCGCGCCCTCGATTTGTGTCACACTGGCATGAGAGCACATGCCGTCGGGCCGCTCGCAGCTAACGGCACGCACGCCAAGCACGCACGCACGCACAGACGAGCGGGCGGGCGAGCGAGCGGACAGACCGCTGAGCGAGCGAGCGACGAACAGACGAGCGACGAACACACGAGCGACTCTCACCAGCGGCCGACGCCTCCACAGGCCCGTGAGCGAGAGCGCCGCGGGCGTTCGTCATTTTTGGGGTTTAGCAAACCGCAACCTGCACTGCTGCATACTTGACGGGCGCCTTAATGTTAGGGCAGAGCCACAGCCACGGGGGACCGGCCCCGCCACGCACCACGCCCTGTACGTGCCCCCCGAGATCCCGCGACACAGCCCCCGGACGCAAGCTGGGTTTGATGGAGGGGGGTTGGGGTGCAAACATCAACCCCCGCCCGTCCACCCGCCTGCCCGGGCGTCACGTGACCACGGCCCCGGGCCGGTCGCGAACCCGTAACTCCGGGTTAATGTGCACTACCGCGGTGAGCTCGAGCGGAGGTGGATGCTGCAGGTGGACACTGGGAGGTGGTGGGGGGAGGGGAACGCATTTTATATCATTTACTTATCCAGGAGAGTGAGCTCATTAACAACGCACCGACTCTACAATACGCCCCATCGAGCCGTATGCGCGACGAGATTATTTTTTATTTCAATGAGAATTCTCCACTAATGTTGCATCTATGTGCTAATGGAGCGGACAAAAATGTACGATGATAACCACGAGACAAACACATCGCCGAGTCTTGAACCAAGCCTGAAGTCTCAAGACTCAGATTCTGGGGGAAGCTGCACTGCAACGTTTTCAACCGCGTCATGGACCCCCGCAGCCCAGTAGGGTTGGGGGAATTCTCAAATCATCTGTGCGATTCAACAATCCTTGCCGCCAAAGAGCGCTGGATCAGAGGTGTGCGTCTCAGGGGAACTTGTTTTGGAGCGGGGTGGGGGGGGCATTAATTCCCCTGCTCCAAGCCGTCCACCGTCTCCCGGACCGTGCGCAGGATGAACGGGCGAGGTCACAGGCGACGTCGCGTGCCGCACGCCGCCGCCCGGCCTAACGGCTCACACAAGTGATTTAGTGACTTCTCTCAACCGCGTGGCTGGCCGCTCGCTTGCTCGGCCACCAGCCAACTCGGTCGCCGGCAAGTTTGGCAGACGGGCGGACTTTACAGGAGGGTGGTAGAGGGCACCTACGGGAAGCGCCCCCCCCTCCACCTCCATTTCCCGCCCAGCTGGAGCCGCGAAGGGCACGGTGAAGCGCCGCCCAGGGTCACGCTGCGCCTTGCCGACTACGAGACTCTCGACGCTGAGTGACGGCCGCAGGGGGCGACAACGGGGAGAGCAGTTGGGGCAGGGTGGGAGTGCGAGCGTCACCCTCCGATCCGTCAGATCATCACCGTCCCTCCCAGACTGGGAGCTACAGGACACACGGCCGGCTCCTGCAACCCTTCTGACCCCCGTATCTAAACTCCCCCCCCCCCCACCGCCACCTTCGCCTGGCCACTGACACAATCCCCCCTCTTCCCCTTCTCAGGACCGTAACGTTTGGATCCCGTTGCTGGGCCCGGCGGCAGAGCGCCGAGATGGCCGATCGCTCCTTCCTGACCGCGGCAGAATATGGAGACGTTACTTTGGTGTCAGAAAATAAGAAAAGTGAAAAAAGGCAGATCCAGGAGCTTCTCAACCCCACCTAGGCCTGCCTGCTGGGTCAAGAGGTCAGCTCCACTTTGCTCCTCAGAGCTGCCCGTGGTCACCGAGTCCTACGGGGGCGGAGCGGCATTCCGCAAGTGAGCAACTCCTCTCTCGCGGCGGCAAAGACATCGGGGGCCCCCGTGGGTCCCTGCGAGTCTCTCCGGGTCCCTGCGAGTCCCTTCAGGGCCCGTGGGCCCGGTGGGGAGCCGCAGGGACCCGCTCACGAGGAAGAAAGTTCATGTGGAGCCACAGCGGTTCGCGAGGACCCGCAAACAGCCTCGCCTCGCCCTGGCCCGCAAGCCCTGGGGGGCCCCTCCCTACCGCAACCCCCCACCTAGCCCCGTCACCCCCCCCCCCCTTCCACATCCCTCCCTCCGTCCTGCCCGCCTGCCGCCTGCCTCCGTGTCCGCACCCTCCCTTGCCACGTTAGTCAGGGCCGCCCCGGGGCATCTCTGCCCCATGACTTTAATTTGCCACGACGCGGCTACAGTGCCCCAGCCATGGGTGGGGGGGGCAGCCGGGGGAGGAGGGAGGTTAGAGGAAAGGGGCGAGGGGGCCCCGAGGGTGCATGCGTTGAGAAACGGGAGGGGGGGGGGGGGCTCCATCCCCGGCGGTGCCCCCACACTCTTGCCGCACGAAGCGTGGCGACTCCGCGTGGTGTGTGAGCGTCTTTGTCTTTGGGTGGGGGGGGGCTCGCCACGACTTGGAGGAGGAGGCGGCGCTCACTGTAGCGCCTGGGGCTCCTCTAGGAGAAGAGCGCTAAACAACACGCACTGTACGGGGAGGCTATACTGGTTTGGGCACGGGGGCGAAGGGGCCAGGAGCGGAGTGGCTAGCCGGGGGCGGCCGAGCGGGGGGTGCAGGGGCCCAAATTCGACCCCCCCCAACCCCCGGAGGTGTACCTCCCGGATGATCGTGGGGGACAGCGTCCGAGTGCCCCGTGGCCCGAGGTCAAAGTGCAGAGGTGAGAGGTGGCGGTCGTCGGGGGGGTAGAGGGGGGCGGCCGATCTGAGTGGGGAGGGGGCACCTCGGGACAGAGAGCCAGAGACCAATGTCATCTGACCTCGGGGTGTGGGCGACGGTTTGGGGGATGGTGGCGTGCGGTGGGGGGGGGGGGGGGGGGGTTTGCAGGAGGCTGTCGTTGGGGGCGCCACGACGGCGGCTGCCGAGGGCTGCGGCCGGAGCGAGGGAGGGTGCGGCCCGGGTAACGCCGGCGAGGCAAGACGGGAGCGGCGCTTGCGCGGGCGGGCGGGCGCTGGCGGGCACGCGGGCAGCCCGCGGCAAGGAGTCGGCGCGTCACCGCCGCGCGCGCCGCTCGCAACGAATGGGACGCGTGCGCCGCCGCGAGCAAAACTAACGAGGTCATTAGACGCTTCTGGGGGGGAGCTGTGGGGGCGGGGGGGAATGGAAGGAGGCAGCCTGGGAGGAAGAGACAGAGCGAGAGCGAGAGGGGAATGGAGTGTGAGAGCGAGAGGGGAGGAAAATGGATTAAAAAAAAACCCGAGCACGACTCCCACTGCGCTTGTAAATATGCACAGCTTAACCATTTTGAACGTCCCACGCTCCTCACGTTGATTTGCTCCGAGTCTCCGGTGCCGTCGAGCGCGACTCGGCACCGCCGCTCGCCGGCAGACGCACACATGTGCGTGCACGCACACACGCATACATGTGCATACACGCACGCACACACGCATGCACGCACGCACGCACACACGCGGTCTTAAAACTCTCCATAAAGAATTTAATATATAAACATCATCGTGAAAAAACGTGCGCTGCCCACTGCGCCACGACCCTGTCCTGCCACAGGCCAGATGCCACCCAGCTCTCCCCTCTCTAGCACAGAGTCCCCATTACTCTCCAAACCCCCTGTAGTCCAGAGCCCCCCATTTCTCTCCCATCAGTGAAACCTCCTCTCACCCAGGGCCCCCCACTTCTCTCCCGTCAGCCAAACCCCCCTGGCCCAGAGCCTCTGTCCACGACGAGTGGTTTGCCTAGGGGAGGGTCATGTGATGTGTGCTGAGCAGTTGTGACACTGTGGGGTGCCCTGGGGTGATGCGAGGAGTGGGCTTGACGGGTGTGCGCTGGGCGGGTGTGTGCTGGGAGTGTGTGTGTTAGGCAGGGGATTGAAGAGATGAGATTCCTCGAGTAAAGAAGAGAGATTGTACTGCTGGTGGTAGTAGTGGTGGTGATGACTGTGGTGGTGAGTGGTCGTGTTGGTAGTTAGTGGTGGTAGTGGTGGTAGTGGTGGTCGTGGTGGTCGTGGTTGTTTACTGGAATCTGTACTGGGCAGAGTGCGGGAGGGTTCATGCTGCCCGCGTGGAGAGACGGAGGGACGCGGCACGATGGGCACGCGCCCATGGGTAGCGCGCTAAGTTCCCGCCGAGGGGAAGCGCGGGGGGGGGGGTGTGTTACCGCTCTCCCGCTCCGCGGATCGCGAGACGTCGCCACGGCAGCCACTAATTTGCATTTTGCACCAAAAATCCGCAGCCTTGGGAGACGCGCGGGGGGGAAGGGGGGCGGTGGGGAAGTGGAGGGGAGGGAGGTGTGGGGAGGGGATGTGATGCGAGCAGGAGGCCACCAACGGCACCGTTTCCAATTATCTCGTTCGAGGGCTCGTTAAAAAAACCCGACACGAACCGAACGGGCGAAAAACATTTGCGAAAAGAAAAAAAAATAACTCTGCCGATATCTTTCTGTGGTTTATAAGAAAGAAAAAAAAGAAAATTAATTTTGTCTCTGGGGCAAATGGGAGTGATGCAAAGATTTAAGAGGGGGAAAAATCCCATATAAAGCCTCAGAAGTTGAAACAGAAGAGAAATCTTTGGAGAGGAAGGAGGAATGATGCCAGGAGCAGGGCAGTAATCATGCCTGGAATCGGCGGCGGGGGCGGTGATGGGGGGGGGGGGGGCTCGAGGGTGGGAAGTGGGGAGCGAGGAGGGGGGGGCGGTGGGGAGAGGGAGCAGCAATCACACTGTCTCGAACGCCAGGGTACACGGGACGCCGCGGGCGACGCACGCCCCACGGAAACACAGCCCTCGCTCGCTCCCTCGTTCGCTCGCTCGCGCACGCACGCAGGCAGCAGGCCAGTGCACGCCTCGGGGCATCCCGTAACCACGGCGACGCCCCGCCCAGGCCCATCCGCAAAAAACCCTCCAACTTACCCGGAAAACTACAGCCCCCCACCACCAACCCGCACTGCCAGCCGCCAGCCGCCCCATGGCCAGCCTCGTCCCTCCGCTCGCTCGCTCTCAATCATAACATTATACAAAGAAATGAGGAGATGCGCAGACACAAGGATGGCAGCACAGATGTACAGACCCTCATAGGCACAGAGGCAGACACATGCACACAAGGCGCATAGACCGACACTCACACGGCCGTAGAGGCGACACACAGATGTCAGACATACGCATACACTTACGAGCATGCACACAGATGAACAAACGCACTCACGTGGACGCAGAAATCCGCGCGCACATCCACACATTCTCACACAGACAGATGTACAGGCGCGCACACAAACGCACAGACGAATGCACCCATAAAAAACATGGATCACCAATGTGGCCTTGAACAGACTATTGGAGCAAGTGCTGTTAGCGAGCACCTATTAGTGTTGGAACGGCGCAAGAGGGGATGGTGTGGCTAGCACCACTCCCGGCCGTCAGTTAATATACTGCACCAGGTACTCATTTAAGGCCGAGTTGACCTAACTGAGGCACGGGATCAGTTAAGATATTCGCCACTACCCACAGCCTGGAATCGAACTTGCATCACCAGTTTTGTAGCGCAGTACGTTAATGACTGTGCCACCACTCCACCCATCAGATACACATGTGTGAAAATACATAGACACCCACATGCATGGTCAAACACAAATGAAAGATTCCCCGAAAGCCTGCTGGGGCAAGCGCTGTGTCTATTAAGGCCGGCGACGCAAAGACCCCCACAAAGACAAACGCACATGCATGCAGACCCGCACACTCGCACACACGGATAGAGACAGAAGCACAAGGACAAATGTCCTTACACCGATACACACGTGTATGCATGCATATAGACAAAAGCTAAGATTCCCCATACAACTTTTCATAAATGGTTGGGGCAAGTGCTGTTAGCGACCACCTATGAAGGCCGGAACGGCTCACAAGGGGGTGGTTAGCCAGTACCACAACCGGCCACCTTTGTCTCCGCAGCGGCAATATTTACACACAATGCCAGGTACTCATTTGAGGCCGAGTCGACCTAGGGGAGGCCTAGGACCGGTTCAGATAATCGTCACTGGTGTCGGCCGTGAGCGGGAATCGAATTCAGATCACCTACTTCAAAGCGCAGTATGCTACCCAATGCGTGTTCGTTATAAGCGCGCGCACGCTGTCACAGATGCGCTCTCACATGTGCGTGTACACGCGAGGCCCGCGTCCCCCGTGGGCGCGGAGGAGGAGGCTGGGCCCTGGGTGCCAGGCCACGTGCGCCATCACGTGGCGCCACCATTAAGGGTGCTCGCAGAACGGGCGCAGAACAAAGCCTCGCTTCCCCCCCCCGGCCCCCTCGGCCCCCTGCACCCCCCCCCCCCCCCACTTGGCCGCCAGCCCCCACAGCACCGTCACATCCAAGGGAAGGCGGCGCCCGCAGAAGCAGCCCAGGGACACGACGCTCACCTTACCGCGCTGGCTCGGTGCACAATTACGCTCGTGCGTGCGTGCGCGTGTACTCACACGTACACACGTACAGACAGACACGCCGACAGACAACAAGGCCGAGACAAGAGTGGACGCACACGAACGGACACGTGGATATACAGACGGCCACAAAGGCAGACACGGGTGACGCACGTGGAAGCAAAGACAAATGATGAACAAACACACCGACAAACACAAACACAGAACCGCGAACAGACGCACGGACACGTGGGCAGACACACTCGGAGACACGTAGATAGACACACACACACACACACGGGCAGACGGACGGACGCTCAAGGGCGAGGCTTAGGGGGGTGGGGTCCCCGGGTGGGGATGAGGCAGGGATTACGCGGCCACGGCGCCCGAGGGTGGGAAGGGGTTAAACCCGGGGTGGGGGAGGGTGGGGTCATGGCCCAGGGGCTACGTGGAGCCACCAATCAGGGCCTTCAAAAAGTGCCCCCCCCCCCAACAACAACACGAACCATAACCCCCCCCGCCCCCCCGGGTGGGACATCACAGCATGGAGGCACAGGAGAGAGAGAGAGAGAAGCGAGCTCCGCTATCCTGGGCTAAATACTCCGGGCCGGCTTTTCAAAGAGCCCTGCTCCGGGCGTGCCTACGCGGCCCGTGGAATGAATAACAGGTTTTAATAATTATCCTTCTCTGGAGCAGGCGAGACGCGGCGGCGCTGCCAGCGAGCGACTCTTATCGTGTGGTTGCACACCCCGGCAGGGCTGCGTGCGCCACGGCGTCGGTGCGAGATTATGTCGGGAGCATCGCTTGTGGGACACCGAGCCATGTCACTGCCACGTTCTTCCCCCGCACAATTCGATTCTTCGGCACGGCCCATGCCCACGAGAATGACGCCACGCGCAACGCCGCGACGGTGACTTTAAGCTCGTTTATTCCCATTAAGGAAACTTCTAACGAGTCGGGCGGTGCGGGGCAGAAGGCCCGGGTACGAAATGAGAGGCACAAGACAGGCCCGCAGTGTCCATTGCACCGGGTTCCCTGCAGGGGTCGCCGTGAACCTCTCGGGCACTCCCGGCTCTTCTTGAAGCCCCCACGGACCATGTCGGACCCCCTAAGACTCCCTTAATGCGCGCCGCTCAGGGAACCGGTATTAATCCTCCCGAGTTGGCACTGGTGCCAGGAGTGGCTCGCACGTGGACACCGCGTGGAGGGGCGTGGGAGTCAAGGGTGGAGGGGCCGGCAGACTGGCGCTGCACCAGAGCAGGTCGGGGACTTTGGCACGAATGGCACACCGCGAGGGCAGAGGAACCGCGCACGTTGGCACCAGGCCAGGAGTCGGAGACACTGGAGTCACGGGAATGGAGGTCGGGGATGAAGGGGTCCGGTGGGGAGTTCAGGAACAAACCTATTGCACCACGGGCCCATACGGGTCGGAGTAGAGAGGATGTCATCGTACAGAAGGGTCGTGGAGCGGCACTGGCACCGCACACGTTAGTTATGGGTGAGAGCAAGGAATGGCACCGCTCCGAGCATCAGGTGGGGACAGGGGTCGGGGTGGCACACACTGGAACAACGCCGGGAGGGGTTAGGTAGGTGGGTCAGAAGCACTGCCACGGCACGGAGGCGGGGGTTAAGATGAGGGGGGTAGTCAGTGGTGGTGGGGGGGGGGTATCGCACCTCGCCCGATGAGCCGTGGCTGGGAGAGTCGATCTTCCGCTTCTTGCGGGGCCCAATGGCGGCGAGTGCCGTGAGGTTGGCGTCCCTCTGCCTCATCTGCGCCAGCTCCGCCTGCTGCATCTGTTGGGGGGGGGGGGGGGGCGGGGTCGGGGGGCAGAGGTCACAGGTTAGGCATCGAGGTCAGGGACAGGAGTAGCGAAGGGGCGAGATGACAGCGGGTGACACAAGTCAAGAGCACGTTGACTCTCACCCGGTTCAATTAGGAGCAAGGATTAGAATTTGCAGTTCTCGGGAGCTTCCTTTCAAATGCCTCAGCAATTCAAAACCCTTTACATCACATCTCCAGTGGCAACTGTCCCAATGCAGCACAAGTTGAATGCAGCACTGGCCTGCAAGTGGACATTTGTCCGATAAAAAAAATACAAATGAGTGGTGAAGGTTGGAGAAGGTGTGCAGCTTGGGGAAAGGGTAAAGTTTACGGCTCTGGTAAAATTCAAGCTCAGGTCAGGGCCAGAGATGCTTTGTTGTTTAACTTCTTACAGCTCCATAATGGAAACCCAATGTAGCAACTGCCTGAAAACAAAACTCTCTCTCAATCAGTGCGCATGACCCGCTGCGACATATGGAAAAAGAGGACACGGATACTGATAAAGGCTGAAAGTTTGCAAAAGCAGCATGAAGTGGAGAATACTTCAAACGACATGCAAAGACGGAAAGGAAGGCATGGGCGTAGGGCAGGAGATGGCGTATAGGATACAGGATGATGATGATGGGCGGCGGTGGAGACAAGCCACTACTGGTGACGGCTAGAGGAGGGGATGCGGCGGAGGAAATGACGTCCACCGCGGAGGTGGAGCGACGAAGCCGGCTCGTGTGCGGGTGCTCGGCACACCGCTGCATCGCGAGAACGTGAAGGCCACCGACAACTCGGAGGCCTTTGACCAACAGTGGAGAGACCATGGCCGACGATGATGTCATGTGTATGCGTGTATCTCGTAAGACAGCCATAGTTTTGCTCCAGGAGCCTCGGGCATTTCCACCAAACGGTGGAAGCCTCCCCCCCCCCCCCCCCGATGCTTTTACGCCGGTTAGAAGCCAAAAGCCGGGCGAAGTTTAGGCGACTTTTTCACCCCGCACGGATGGATGCGATATGGCCTGGACGCACACATGGGAGTGCGTACGCGCGCACAAAAATCCCGTCCCGCGCAGGGAGGGGAAGAGTTTTACGCGGCAAAGTGATTGAAGAGATGCGGCGATCAGAGGCTGATTGCGCAAGGCCCAGAGCGGAGAAATGCGCTGGGGCGAACACGACGCTGCCGTCGTCCTGGCAATAAATAATAAAATAAATAACTGCGGCAGTAGGCAAAAAGAACGAGCTTAATTAAACGCACCCGGAATACCCCAACTGCACAGACGAGCTAAACACCACAATTAAATTACAATTACCCGCCCAGCGCAGGGGAAGTTATGAATTCGACAGACAGGCGGCCTCATTAAAATTTGGTGCTTAAAAATGATCTCCCATTAATTTGCGACAGGCGTTCGGGCGCCGGCAATCAGTCACGGAGCAACGGCACGGCAGGGTGGGGCCTCCCGGTCGTAAACACGCCACCGAGGTGTGCATACCAAATCCTGGCGTGCTCTCACCGGCGCCGTGATCCACCTACCCAAACCCCCCCCCACCCGACACGGCGCCCCGTGGGCGGTGCCACAACAAGCCGAGGCTGGATCAGGGGCGAGTAGTGGAAGACGATCGGAGATGGAGAGTGAAGTGGTGGGAGAGCAAGGGGCACGATGGAGAGGGAGGCAGACAAGTGGAGCAGAGCTGTACCAGAGTGCCGTGGAGAGAAAAGGACTCCCGGATGGGCGAGTGGTGAGATAGACTAAGATGCTGAGAGAGCGTCAAACAGAGAGACAAGGCGATGAGAGAAGCAACAGAGTGTGGAGCGGCTGAGCTTACGAGAAGCATGTGCGGGGTGAGCAGCAGTGGAGAGCGAGTGGAATACTGGCGAGAGCGGAGGAGCTGGCAGAGAGAAGGAGCAACTGGAAGAGTGGGGAGCGACCGAGAGACAGAGGAGCGCCTCCCCTGCGAGACGCAGGACGGTAGCCGCATCGGGTCAGAGGCCACGGCCACGAGGGTTGGGGCGGCACCGTGAGCCGGGAGACGAGGCGGGGAGTGGTTGCGGTTAATGTCATCTTTTCTGGGCAGGGGCGGGCTGGGGGGGCTGGAGTGGTGGACGAGCGAGGGTGGGGGGTTGCGGGGGTGGGGGGTTGCGAGGGTGGAGGGTTGCGAGGGTGGGGGGTTGCGAGGGTGGGGGGTTGCGAGGGTGGGGGGTTGCGGGGGTGGGGGGTTGCGGGGGTGGGGGAACGTGGCTCTCCGGGGATCGCTCTTAAACTCCGCCAGGTCCCCGAGCGCTCGCCGCAGCCCATGTTCGTTAGCCCAGCGAGCCGGCGAGCGAGCATTCCTCCGTTACTCCCCAACGTTTCCCGCTTGCCGACAACCCCCCCGGAGCTCTAATTCCCCTGATTTATTTTGCGCCAAGCACGTTCGGAGGGGTCAAGTGAAAGCGTTTTTTTTGTGCGCAGTTTCGTTAAATAATAAAAAATTTAATACCAACCTGCAAAAAAAGGGTGGTGGGGTGGGGGTGGGGACGGAGTGGGCGCTTACGCAGGTCTATCCGCAAGCACGCGCGCACGTTGGTTTTCCCGCCGAGATTTTGTTGTTGTTGCGCGCGCGCGGAGGGGAAGAAGAAAGGGGGGCCTGGGTGGCGGGAGGACCCCCCGAGGGGTAACTGCGGGAGGACTGCAGCTAATAGCCAAGCTCGATCAAAACGAACTTCCAATTAGTGGCAGCACGCGCCCGCGGGCGGCGAGACGGAGCCCGGCTATCGACCGCTGAGCCCGCCCGCCACTAAAACTCGCACGCGTCGCGAGAAGCCGGCGGAATATTTAATAAATAAATAAACCGACCGACACAAAAATAAAAGCTGTGAGTGTGCGGGCTCGGTGGGTGCGAGGGGGAACGGGCGCGCAATCACCTCTCACCTGCACGCGTCTCCTTTCGAAAGACAAAGGCCCCTTTGTATGTAAATTTTGCAACTGCGAAATTTCCCCAAGTGACAAAAAAAAACACCCCGTCGGAATAATTCGCTGGCAATCAGGAAACAGAAACGGCCGTAAAACTGGTCTCGCGCGCAGATCGCCGAGCGCTTCTCCCGTTTTGTAGCTTTAATTCCGCCGTTCTAAATTCATTAATGAAGCGGGCATCACAACGCACCCCCCACCGTCGACCCCCCCGTCACCAACCCCCTGCTCTGCATACGATACTCCCCCCACCCCCGCCCCCCAGCCTCCCCGCGCCGCAGCCCCCCCCCCGGCCCGCCCGCCGTGCAGGAGGGTTTATTTACCCCCCAGGCTCTTTCAATATGTTAAGCGCACGCCAGCCGCCGGGCACTGCTTCCTATTCATAACACGACGACGCGCGCACGGGAGATTAGACGCCTCAGGGGCCGGGAGGGGGGGCAGGGCCAGGCGGGGGGGGCAGGGGAAGAGGGATGTGGAGAGGGATGTCGTCGTGGTGGGGGGGGCCTTTAGCCAGACGGAGCCGAGAGCCACGAGGAGAGAGGGGGGGCGGGGGGGACTGCGGCTGATTCCCCGGCAGCCATCATCCCCGCTGACCCCGCGCGCCTGTCGGGCTACGCGGGCCTAGAAATAGCGGCGGCAGCTCTCGCCAGCTGATGGCCACCGCTATTCCTCACCCTCCTCACCCTCCTCGCCCTCATCGCCAGCCTCTTCCCCCCGCTCTTAACCCGCCCGTCCCCCTGCGCTCCGTCATTAAACTCGATGGTGCCCCCCACACTTTTGTCACGAACACGGAGCGGCGGTGAGGAAGCGTGACGACGGCGAGAAATTAAACGGGACGCTCGACACGACACGCGCCGGCCGCAGTCCGTACAACACCGGCAGCAACATCGGCAGCATCATCATCAGGCAACCTCCGCTCTCAGCGGCCGGGCTGTGCCGGGCAGCTGAGAGCACTCCCAGCGCACCTCTTTGGCTTTCTGCTTGAGCCTCGCTTGCTCCGGGTCCTCTTGCCGCGACCGGCTCTGGAAGGAGGACATGGGTGTTGGGGGGGGGGGGTGCACGAAGGAGCAGGAGGAGGGTAGTGGATTGAGCGGGTTGTGGGGGGCGGGGGTTGGCAGAGTTTGGGGGTAACGGTGGGTGGGGGGGGGGGAGAGAGATGTATCGTGAAACCAAAGAGAAACAAGGTAATTAGTTGGCGGAGAGGAAGCAGGCATCTTGATGGGCCTGCAAAGGCCAGCCCCTGGGCAAAGCCTCCCCTCGGGCTGTTTTACTTAAAACCGCCGAGACAAAGACAGACCCTCTTTTGAAAGCCCGGGCAGCGAATTCTGCCTCTTATCTTCCAGCCTTTCATTAACTCTGTTGTCTCTTCCCCAAATCTCAATGCATTATTACTCAAGGCCACATCCGAGCCAAGTCGTTTAAAAAGTAAGGAACGCCCTGGGGCTCGGAATAACCGAGCAGAAATTATGTGCCCTGGCTTTCCCGGCGTCTGCGATCTGTGGAAAGTTGCGGCGGAGGCCGTAATCATGAGCCTCAACTTCAGAGAGGGCGCCCGGCCAGCGGGCATTGGGCCGCACGACCCGCAGCGGCCGTCGTTGCGGCGGCGGCAGCGGTAGTCGTAGCAACAGTAGCAGCAACAGTACCAACAGCAGCAGGAAAAGCAGTATGTGTAGCAGCAGCAGTAGCAGCAGCACACGCATTGAAGTGCGGAGGCTTGAGCATGCCAGATGAATTAAACACACCGTCTTCAATAACTAATCTCCGGGCGAGGTCAGGCTACGCATGGCTAATGACACCGACGTTCCATTTCATTTGAATATGGGTTTCATAATTTGATTTATTTAGTGAAGAGTGTGCACCCCCCCTTGCCCTTACGTGCACGCCCTCCACCCCGTCCCTTCCGGCGAGGTAAGCCCAGCGAAAGTTCGGTCGTAATTATTAATTTTAGTCGTTGTCTTAGTCTAGCCGATGACAGCTTGCGCACTTTTTGTCACGTATCAGTCTGTGGTTCAAGGCTCATCGTTATTGAACCACCGTATTAAAGGCGCGCAATTCACTCCCTCCTGCCCCTTACCCCCATATCATCAGCTCAGCCAATTGGTGAACTCGGTTTATGTGTCTATAAACATAAGTGGCTAATTACCATGTTTGGACTTCCTCAGTGCAATATTGTCTCTAATGCCCGTCACTAAACGACTGCAGTGTGCGTCTTTGCTCACACTCGTTCGTGTCGTCTCGTCAGGCCGCTTTGGTCTCCGGTGGGCAGCAGTGCAGTCACAATCATCGTCACGGTCCTGATTTCCTTTCATCCATGTAAAACACTTCACCGGTGAAGACTTTCATCACCGTTTCGGTCGAAGAGTGGACGGTGGGCCGGGCCTCCTCGACCCCCTGGTGGCGAGGCTCGGGAGCGCGCCCGGCGGCAAGCGGAGCGCCGGGCCCATGTGCCACGGGGTCCATGGCGGGCCACAAGGCCAGAGTGGCGGTTCTCTCCGAGCGATAGAACTCAACCACGGTGACGGCGCGTCGACGGGGGCTGCCGCTGGGAACGTTTTCGCCGTGTCGCCAAAATGTCACGCCGGAGTTTTAATTTGCACGATGTGCACAAATCATAAATTTACTCTCCTGCACGAGTCAAGGCCTGGCACGTAAAAATGCACGATCCGTCGACCGAAAATACAATTTGTGCAAATTATACGTGAACGACAACAGGCCGCGCACGATCACAACGCAACCCAAAATCGTGGCGATCCCCCCGAATCGCTGGGGGTGAATCGCAGTGCCATGCGTGCGGCACATGAGCTGTGCGCCTTCTGTTGGGGCGTGGTCGCGTCGGTGTGACCGCAGCGCTGCGCTCACTGCCGCGTTCGTGGCGACTATGGGCATTTAGGCGATGGCTGCGGGGCATTTGCGCGGTAACTGTGGGGTGGTCGTGGCGTGGTTTGTGCGGTGCTTGTCCAGTTGCTATAGTGTGGTCGTGCAGTGGTTGTAGGGTGGATTGTGCAGCGGATGCGGGGTGCTCGTGGCGAGAGGGGGCGGTGCGGCCGCGGTGCCGCACCTTGGCTGCTCGCAGCAGGATCTCGCGCTCCTGCTCGTCCTTGCGCTGCTTCTCCAGGCGGTCGAGCTGCTCGAAGAACTTGAGCTGCGAGCGAGCGTCGTTCGTCGGCTCGTACCGCTCTTCCTCCTGCGGGGGAAGGGAGCGCGTGGGGTTAGGGATGGACTCGGGGTAGGGGCCGCACAGCCCTGACGGTGCCAGAGGGAGGTGAGCGGGCGGGCGAGGGGACGAGCGCGGGGGTTCGCACCTTCATGTTCTCGAGCCGGTGCTGCGCGATGACCGTCAGCTTTTCGATGACGCCACGCAGCCGCTCCTGGGCGGCATGCGACATCAGGCTCACTGCGTCCGGCGGCACCTCGCTCACACCGTGCCGCTTAGCTGCGGCACACGGAAACATAGATCCCCCGTGCAGCCTTAACGTACTGCTGGGGCAAGTGCTGTTAGCGAGCACCTATAAAGGTGTACAGGTGTGGGGTGGAGGGGAGAGGTGGGAGAGCGATGACCTAGTGGAAGCTCACGCTCGGGGTAAATAGAGTTGCCGCCTGTCCTGGTTTTCTCAGGATCAACCTCTTTTTGAGGTAGATCTGAGAAGACACTCTTCCTGGAACAAAGTTCAGTTGTTATTTTTTTTATCAGTTGTGATAATAATAATAAACCACGAGTTGTCCCCTCTTCTCCTCCTTCCCCTGACATGTCCCGTTTTTTTGCACCTTGGAGGTGGCAACCCCCGGGGCACGAAGGCAACACTTTCCGCCAGGAGGCAGGAAGCCGCAAGGCCTGCTGGGGAGGAGGCTCGCCACCACACGCTGGCGGTGGCGGCGACGGCACGTGCGAGCACGCTTGCGCGCCTGGCAAAGCGGTAATCATGTTTCTGACTCGCTTTAACACGATGAGCGAACGCTTCAGCGGAGAGATTTGATGCCTCGACTCGCGGGCGCGTTTGGGCGTTCCGCTTAACGGCAGCGGAGAGCGCAGTGGCGGGCGGCAGGTGTGCGCACGGGGAGGGGGGGGGATCTTGTGCCGCCATCCGCGAGGTCGCAGGAAAAACGGGGAGAAGAAATAAATGGGAAACAAAAGAGGAATTGAAACACACACAGGCTAGGACGTACACACAGTCACACTCGCGCGCACACACATACGCGTGCACGGCACAAATGAGTCCATGCATTTTATATCAAAGTGTTTCGCTGACGGCTGAGCGGCGGAGAGTGAGAATGAAAATGAGCTGAGACATAAAAAGAGGCGGCGTGTCAAACATCAAGACGGCCACGAGACGGTTCCGCTAATCAAGGCCCCATTTCATCGGCGCGGCGCTCTGACACTCAAACGTCCGAGAGGAGAAAAGGAGAGAAAGACATAAAAACAGAGACAGAAAAAATCGTAGCTGCCTATTTATACGCTCGCTCGCGCGTGTGTGTGTCCGCGCATGTAAGAGAAGGTACAAATTTTTATTTAAAACTTTCGTGACTGCAGGAATTCATATTCTATGGTTCTTTCTGTAAAGTCACGTAGAATGAAGAAAAAATAATAACAATAAAATAATAAAAACAAAAGTGAACAAAAAATAATACAAATATCACGACGTTTCGATCGCAACACAAGCGATCAAAATGTCGTGATATTTTTATTATTTTTTATTCACTTTATTTTCATTTAATTGTATTTATTTTTTTATTGTTATTATTTTTTCTATCAACGTGACTTTACCAAAAGAACCATAATATAAAAAGGTAAAAAGGCAAAGGTGCAGGTCCTGCAACTGCTTGCTCACGCCAATGTAGGTGGAAGGGCCTCCTCTGGGGATAGCGCTAGAGAACCCGTCTGGGGAGCACGCACACTTGTACCCGGTGTTATAAACGGGTACAAGTGTGTCAGTAGCTGTATCGCTATAAACGGGTACAGCTCCTGACAGCGGCGTGCCCACTTACACTGCGGGGTGGACAGAAGCAGGGGCATTTAATAAATGTATTTCAACTGCCGTGCCGGGAGAATTAAACCCGATGACCTCTGGATGGCAAGTCCAATGCGCTCGCCCTGACATGACGGAAGCATCGTGCGGAAAGTAAAATATTAAAATGAGACGGCGATCACCGCCCTGTGAGTCCGGGAAGCTCAAACGTCGGAGCCGCCAGGCGCTGGCAGGGCTCCCCCCCCCTCACCACCACGAGCGAGCGACGCGGCGGGACGAGGTGGGGGCGGGAGGGTGGCGACGCGAAGACGGTGCGCAAACAGCGATTGCCACGGCCGCCCGGCACGCGCGGCAGCGGCCGCGGCCGTTAAAACGAAGCGTGGGGAAGACGAGTGGAGGGGGGGGGGAGGAAAAGTAAAAAAAGAGATTAAACAATAAAAAAATAATTGGAATTGGAGGTGTGAAGGAGAGGGATTTGTGTCGGACTGGGCGGGGGGGGGGGGGGGGGGCACGGGGAGGCGTGAGGAGCGGAAGATATGAAGTGAGGGAGCGAGGGGGGGGTGTTGGAGGTTACGCCGGACCCCGCGGCTGATGAGTGGAACAAAGGCACCCGGGTTTGTCTCGCAGACAGCTGGTTGCCCGGTTTTGCCCGTGGGCATCGCTCACCGTTCCAAAGAGGGCTCACTTGCTCCCTCCTCGCCTCTCTCCCTCTCCAGCAGAGATCCCAATTATACCTCGATAGATTTTTTTATTACTATCACCACCGCCCCCCCCCACAACCATCTTTTTTTTATGAGCTAATAACGGACGTTTTCCTGCACGGCAAAGAGGGGGGCTCAGAGGCTGTACAAGTTCGGAGGGGGGGCGGTGGAGGGGGGGCGGTGGAGGGGGAGCGCAGCGGGAGCGCAGCGGGACGAGGGGGGGGGGGCTTCCCCCCAAAAAGGCGTCTCAGCCACACGTGTCTCGCTTGTTGCCGCTGTAGCTGCAGCGGCATCCTCTGTTGTCCGCGGTGAGATCGCACCGTCTGCACTCCACTCACGCACGACGCGCGTGCCCTGCCTCGCTGACCTTGGATCGCTTCAGGAAAAGCAAGCGTCTAGCCACTGCACGCACGCACGGCGTGGTGTCGCGACACGAACAGGTCAAACCAAGCCTCAGGTGTCTTTGCCCCCTGTGAGGGACACCGTTGCAGAAGAGACGCCCACCCTCCCATTCCTAAGAGGGGTCCCCCCCCACCCCCAGCGCCGCCGTGGATCGTTATGGCAAGCGTTGTTCGCGAGCAGCCCCTGCCCGCTGGGACACACTTGAAGGTGGCATTGTTTACAACGTGCATATTCGAATGAGAATGTTTAACAAATAATCTGAATTTCGGGAACAAACCAAAAAAAAAATTTCGATTTTTTGTTGCCGTAGGATTCTCTTGAGTTTTAGGCCATGAACAAATGTCCGGTTTACCCCGCAGCCCCCTCTCCCCCTGCAGTGCTGGCCACTGTCAGAAGTCACTTCAGCTCGTGGCGGATGGGCTCTTTAAATAAATTAACTCGTTGGGGGGGGGGGGGGGGAGGCGCTGATTCAACCACCGCACCACCACTCTACATCCGTGGCGAGTGACATCACAAAGAGTCCTGCCACCCTGCACCCCCCCACCTCCTGCCCCTGATCACCAATCCACATTATCAGACAAAACCCCTCAGAAGCAACATGGAGTGGGGAGGCCTTAACTTATTGCTGGATTGCGGGAACCGCCAGAGCGGTTCACGCGGACTGTGCTCGCGTGCGGCCAGCGCCGTGTCAAAGGCGCCCGCCCTGCCCACCAGAGCCCACAGTTGCTTGTGCTCACTTCAGTTCAAGCAGCCTTCTATCCTGTACGTGTCCGAGTGGGAGAGCGGGCGGGCCGGCGAGTGAATGAACCCACGAGTGATTGGACAGGTGGATGAGTGAAAGAAAGTGCGAGTGAATGAACGTGCAAGCAGGTGAATGATGGACGAGTGAGTGAGTGAGTGAGCAAGCGCGTATGAGCGAGCGTACCAATGTCCTGCATGCGCGCCAGCAGCGGTGTGCCGGAGAGGAAGGCCTCGTCACGGCACGAGCGGATCTGCGTGCCGACAGTATCGGAGCCCGTGGCCGCGATGTGCGCGCTCTCCTCGTTAATGTTGACCCCGGCCATCGACGCCACGTCGTTGATGTCATCGTCGTCCCTGCGCACGGCGACAGCGGTGCTCTCGGTGCATGGCCCATCCACGAGTGGAGTGCTTCCAGGGTAAAAGCCCTCCCTGTGAGCTGGTGCGGTGTGTGATCTCAAGTGCGAGAGTGCGTGTGTGTAAGTGGTCGACTCAGCCTGAACCAAGTAACTGGTGCGGTGTACTAACATTGCAACTGGGGTGACAAAGGCGGACAGGTGTGGCGCTGGCCATAACACCCCCTCGTGGACCGTGCCGGACTTCATAGGTGCTCGTTAACAGCACTTGCCCCAGCAGTCTATTGCGGCTATGCGGGGGATCTTTGTCTTTGGGACTGTGTGTGAGTGTTTGTGGTGCCCGAGGGTCAAGGGGAACTCACTTGAAGGTGCCCCCACCCGCGTCCTTGAACTTCCCCTTCTGTGCCGTGGAGGCCGTGTGGCTGGTGGAGGTCGCGAGGGCGCCGGCAGAGAGGCCGACTGCCGGGCCCTTGCCGCTCACCGCCCCAAATCTCACCGCCATGCCTGCGACGCCACACCGCACCAGACCACGCAAACACCACACCGCACCAAAGCACACCACACCAAAGCACACCGCACCAAAGCACACCGCCAAACATCGCAAACTTGCCAAACCGCACCACATCGCAACACACGAAACCGCACCAAACCGCGCCACACCGCCCGTACCACAGCACATCACACAGCCCCGTACCACACCGGGCACACACTGCCGAATTTAGTCGACTAACGAGCGAGCGACGCGGGGCATTAAACACAAGCGGAAGAAACGATGACAATTGGGAGTGCCGCAATACGACTCTCCGGTCGTCACGACGTCAGTCTCCCATAACCTGTTCATTGTATTTCACAATATAAGTCAATTGTTATTGTGCCTTGCTGTACTTCCAATATAAATAAAGATCACTTCATAACAGTTCTGCAACTGCAGTTCACTCAACATAAGCCAGAGCCATAAGAATTTTAATCAGGAACTTAATAAGCCTGATCGGTTGTAAAGCTGTAATTATTGCGTACAATACACGCACCGTCAGTGGCACGATAATGAACTAATCACTTGAACTGTGGAAACAAACGAGGCCATATAACCACCACTGTGCCGTCAATTATTGCTGAAAACATTTTGCAAAGCAATTAATGACTTGGAAAAAGCCAATTATGTAGAACTTTAATTATTATTGTGGGCGGCAGGGTGGCGCAGTGGTAACTCTCGTGCCTCACAGCTCGAAGCGCCTGGGTTCGATTCCTGATTCGGGCGCCTCTGTGTGTATGTGTGATCTCCCCCAGTTGTGCAGAGTACCTGTGAGCGAGTGCGAACGAGAGTGTGATGTGTGATACTGCGTAGTTTTTATGTTCTCCCTCTGTTCTGAGAGGGAGAACATACGGTTTCTCCCCCATGCTTAGTTTCACATAAATAATGTCAATGGCACTAACATTCGAATTTTGAAATATTACCTGCAAACTACTCAAGTTGGGATCACACACAGCAGTAGCATCATCATCCCCCTCCTGATAAAACTTGGCAGGACCCTCCTGAAAAAGGGCCCTGAGGCTCGGTGAGGCTTTCATGGCCGAACAAGCGAAATAACAAACCAAAAATGTCACGTATATTTTGTCCAGTGATAAAATATGAAGGGGAAACAAAGGGCAACGATAATCGCGAGAGAGCGGCATTTTGGCAAACAAACGATGCGATGATGGACGAAGAGCGAGCTCCCTGGATGGCAACGTGCCCCCCCGCCCCGCTCGAGATGCCGCGACCGCCGCAGCGGCAGCCCCCCCTGCTGGCGGGACTCGGGAGTGCGCTGGGCGTCGCGAGATCGCTGCCGTGCCAAATCGTGGTAGCTCAGGGCCCGGGCGTGCATTGTTTATTACCACTCCCACTACGACGCGAGTTTCCCCCCCTGGAAAGCCTCACCGAGTCTCAAGACTATTTTCTCAGGAGGGTCCTACGAAGTTGTTTTCTCAGTAGGGGGCGATGTTGCTGCTGCTGCTGTGATCCCTATCACGTCATTCTCAGGTCAATGTTTTCAACATTGGTACGTTTGGGCCAATTGCAGTAAACAATGCGTGTTTCATTTGTTTACCAACGGAAGGCAAGCTGAGAACCCGGAGGAAACCCATGCAGACCAGGGGGAGAACAATCAGCCTTCACACAGAGAACGGCGTCCGAGTCGGGAGTAGAACCCAGGCCCTGACTGCTGTGAGGCATGAGCGTTACCACTGCGGGCCACCCTGCCGCTTCAGCCGGGTCAGTCCGGGTCAACAAGAAGGAATTTTTCACACCCGGCATCACCACATCCGGTATACGTCTCGCTATGGCTTGTCATGTAACTCTTACTCCAGTCTAATAACAACGATAATTATAAAAATATATTTAGTAAGAAATACTTGGGGGCAGCTCAACCCAGCAGTGTGAGCTCCCCCCCTCCACATCCTACTCCCCCCCACCTCCTCCACCCCCCCACCTCCTCTTCATTGACACTGCAGGTTGAATGGGGCAAGGAGCGACTGCCTCACAGCCAACTGTGGCAGACAGCGACCCCGTGTGAGGAAGAGTGGCAAAGGGCGAGTTGTCCCAGCTGTCCCTGGCCAAGGGAGCCCTCGGCTGGCTGTGTGCGGTAGAGGGACAGCGCGCACCTGGCTGTGCGTGATACGGTGGACCTTGGCTTTATGCAACTGGTCAACCCACGTCTGCCTGTGTGTGGACAACGGAGAGTCCGCCTGTCTGTAGCTCAGTGACCACACACCTGGCTGAGTAAGATAAAGGAATTCAATACCTAGCTGTAATAGACATCGCACCTCCCTGTGCATGTGACTAGGCTAACCGCACACCTGGCTGTATGTGCCGCATGTGGCCGATGGAGGTGGTGGGACGGGTGAGCACGGTTCCCTGGGCACCCGACAGCGCCTGCAACTGCTTCATCCGCAGCTGCTGCTGCTGCTGCGACGTCACAGTGTGCGTTGTCACGCCCTGCGGCCGGGCACACAACACAAGCACCATCGGCAACTCCACCAACACTGGCAAACATTTGGCGCCACCACTCTGGCAATTGCCAGCACAACCCCTAATCGCCGGCAGCACCAGCAACAACTCCAGTCCCACCATCACCCCCGTGAGCACACACCACAGGCCACAGATCCCCCGTGCGGTCTGTAACAGGTCGCTGGGCCAGGTGCTGGCAGCGAGCGCCACGGAGGCTGGCACGGCACCCGAGGGGGTGGTGAGGCTAGCGGCACTGCGCCGGGGCGTCCTCAGTCTCCCCAGCGCTGGTGATTTTACACATTTGCACCCACATGATGATTGAAGGCTGAGGCAGCCTAGAAGAGGCCCAGGACCGGTTCAGATATCACCACCACTGTCGGCCGTGGCCGGCAATCGAACTAGGGTCGCTCTCACGCCTGCGGCACCCCCTATGGGTAAAACACTGCCGCTGCAGCCACCTTATACCGTTCAAATGTTTAGTTCGAGATTCCAACTCTGCTACTCCCGCCCCACCACCGTCCCATGTTGGTGCAAAGTGGAGTGGGAAACAAGGCTGGAGCGGAGTGGGAGGTCAGCGGAGTGGGAGGCGAGCGGAGTGGGAGGCGAGCGGAGTGGGAGGCAAGGCTGGAGTGGAGTGGGAGGCGAGCGGAGTGGGAGGCAAGGCTGGAGTGGAGTGGGAGGCGAGCGGAGTGGGAGGCGAGCGGAGTGGGAGGCGAGCGGAGTGGGAGGCGAGCGGAGATGCCCTCACCAGGCCGGTGCCGGTGGCGAGCGTGGGCCGTATGGTCGAGAGGGAGACGGTGGGCGCCGGCGCGCTGGATGAGCAGGTGGCCGCCGGGAAGGTCTGCAGATTCTTGTTCATCTGCCGCAGCGCTGGCAGGCTCTTCTGTGCTCGCACACGCACGCACGCACGCATGCACACACGCACGCACGCACGCACACGCACGCACGCACGCACGCGCACGCACGCACACACACACGCATGCACACACGCACACACGCACGCACGCACGCACGCACACACACACGCATGCACACACGCACACACGCACGCACGCACACACACACACGCATGCACACACGAGCAGCAGCGGTGAGGCCAGCAACCACAGGTTGTGTGGCTGCGTTGTGACATGTGTTATTCTGGTATTTTTACGACCAATTTCAGTTTTGATGTAGTAATTTAATATTAAAATAAATTAGACTTATTACCTTTCATTGTTTGTGGATTAAATGTAAAAAATATATATAGTTTAAGCAAAAGTGATATGACGCAATGGCATTTTTGATGGAAAAAAAACACATGGATCTGACGTCACTTCCAGTGACTTCACATTTTAGCTCAACCCGAAATGTTTTTGGTGCTCGCTTTTTGGATTAACCAAATGATTCTAGATTTCATGAAAACGTCCATAAAATATACATGAACATATTTATGTGTGTGCGTGTATATATATGAGGGAGACGCGAGAGCGTTTGCGGGAGGAGGAAGACAGCGTGGGTCACCTTGAGGAAAGGCACCAGGTATGGCTGTGGGGACGACTTGAGCTCTTTCTGCAGCCGGCTGGTGAACTCCTCTGGCTCAATCTTCCCGTCCTGTCGGCAACGATCACGGTGACACCGTCCAGACATCGTCAGACAACACGACCATGCTCATTTGCTCACTCATTTGCTCGCTCGCTCTTTGGCTTGCGTTAGCTCTTGTTAACCCATAACGATGTCATCGGGAGGAGGAGGAGGTACACGACGTCGAAAAATTCCGTCACGTGGTATAACATCATCGCAAACGCTTTGACGAATCCTTGACTTTACCATCAAGCTTTGGGAAATCGTTTAATCAACGAGGCCAGTTTCCTCTGAGGTAAGTCCCTAATAGCAGCACAACTTTACAGTAACATTTCACTCATACTGGATGATCTTCGCGAGGGTTAATGTGGCCCACCAAATACTTACGAGACAGGTGAGCACAGGTAACACATTAACACTTTGAACCTTGCTTGGACCGCATCAGAGAGAACGGCGGTCGGAGCAGAGGGAAGCGCGGGGGTAAGCGAGCGCCACTCACGAGCAAGCTCTGCACGAGGTCCTTCACGTTGTGCGCCGTCTCGGGCGACTGCTGCCCCGTGGATGCCAGCTTCACCAGCGTCGACAGGAAATTTTTGCACTTCTTCACGTTCTCCATCAGCTCCTGGGCAGTGACACAGGGCGAGCGTTAGCGCCAGGCAGAGGAGACGCCGCTGCACAGCACTGACTTGGCGCCGTGATGCCACCAAGACAGAGGTGCCCAGCACTCTCGTTGATCTGCCGAGACCACTGCCAGCACCGACAACAACCGCCGTTCGCCAGTAAGCGGCGGTGACGTCACCATGGCGCTTGTGCCAGGCTCGGTGCACTTTGAGGCCATGCGAAGTGCCGAAGGCTATCTCACAGGAGGTCACTGTACAATACCAGGTGCTATGGGTTGACTGACTGGGATGACCAACACCACCACTAATTTCAACCATTGCCAAAATTAGCAACAGGCCAGCATATCACACGAGCGGGTGGTGTGGTGAGAACCATGCCCAGCAGCCTCCAGTGCTGAAGTTTACACGTGGTAACCTCAGGAATGGCCCAGGATCGCTTCATACATTACTCACCACTGATGTTGGCTCATTGCACAATTCCTCTAATCACAACGCCCTGCACATAGATACACAAAAGATAAAGATTCCCCGTATAGACTACACAGGCTGTTGGGGCAAGTGCTGTTAGCGAGGACCTATTTAGGCCGGCAGAGCCCACGAGGGGGTAGTGTGGCCAGAACCACGCCCGGCCGTCTTTGTATCCCCAGTGCTGATGTTTACAGACTGCACCAGTTTACACTCATTTAAGGCATCTAGGGGAGGCCCAGGCTCTAGGGGAGGCCCAGGACCAGTTCAGAAAACAGTCACCGATGTTGACTGTGAGCCGAAATCGAAATTGAGTCACACAAAACCAAGACAAACACACAGACAGACATACACGCACATAACACCACCACCATAACCACCACTACAACCACTAAACCACCTCCCAGCACAACTACCAGCACCGGCACCTCCGACACGACCACCGTCAACCCCGGTGGTGGCACGGGACCCACCGGCGTCATGACGAGCGTTGGAGCAGCGGCTCTCACGGCGCCGCCGCCCGGCAGCGCCGCCGTGATGGCCACTGTGGTGGGTGAGGTCAGAGGTCGGATCGACCCTGCGCTCGTCACCATGACCTGCGGAAGATGGAGCCGTTAACGATCGCAACGGCTAAAACGTAGCCGAAAGACCTTTCTGCCCTACACTAAAAGCTACAATACTGGAATCATTGCTCTTTATTAACTTCACACTTCACCTGCTTTATTGTTATTTTCTTAATATTTTGTTATTGATGCGACGTTTTTGCGGTGGCATTCTACCGTTTTTTTCCAGTCTATATCTGTATTGCCCGTGATCCACGTATCTCAGTTTTAGGAAGTAGACTTTTCTTCTCAACCGGCTCTCTCCTGGTTTAAACCAAGTCCACGTGTTTACGCACCAACTGGTTTTGGGTGAACCGCGGGCGCCGCCACCTTGAGGTCTCTCGACCGCATATCAACGCCCCGGCTGCGTTATTAAAACCGCGCGAGAGCGTGGGCGCGCCGGCTGTGGGGGCGGGCGATTCAAAAACGTAAACACGCTGCCGCCACGTGAGCGGCAGCGTGCGCCCGCGCGCTTCTCCCCGGCAAACAGCAGGGGGAGGCCTCGCTCTGCGCTGCACCGTTCGGAGAAGAAAAACACAGCGAGCTGAGGAGTCGTCTCCCCGGCTTGTGCCTACACAGGCAGGGGCAGGCACTCGGTGGAGCCTCAAGCTCTCTCTGCGCTCGGGTTCCCGTACCCGTGGTGAACTGCGAATGTCTATTGTCTGTGTGTGTGTAATTGACCACACTCTATGCATACTTCTTCACCAAATAAAGCCCACGGTTAAAGGGAAAAACAATTGTGAAGGGGCCTCGTAAAAAAAACTGACATGTCACGTGTGGCTGGTCCAATGAATTTTGCGTGACATCTATGGGACCATTTTTTGACGGCATCAAAATGATGAAAAAAAAATGGAAAACTGAGCGTGGGCACGCGCGCTCGCCGTGCCGTACGCACCCCGACGGCGCACACAAATCGTCTAACGCGCCGCTGGTGGCGCCGGCACGCGCCGCTGGTGCTCACGGGAGTTGTCGGAGTGGGCGGTCGCGTGAGCGTCGCGGTGCTGAAGGTGGCGGTGGCGGGCGGCGCCGAGATGACCGTCGGCGGTTGGATGACCTTGGCCTGGACCGGCACGGGAGGCCGGTGGACCGGCGCCGTCGCGGTCGACGTCGCCATGGTGGTGGGCGCCACGGAGACCGGCTGCTGAGGCTGCTCGCGACAAGCGGCGGCGCGACGTAAGCGAGAGGGCAGTGACGCGTGCAAAAACAGGCCACCACGAGGTATGCACGGAGCAAACGGAGATCCGGCACAGTGTCAGCCGGACACAAGCTATGTCCAACGAGGCACAAAACGGAGCATTGAGCAAAAATATTTTTATGCTCAAGATACGCACGTTTAGTTGTGCTCCTCAGAATCTGTATAGATTACATCTAGGCTCATAAAGCAAACAAAACTGAACAAACGAGAGGATAAAAGATACATACGGCTGTTAATCAAACTGCTCGAGAAAACGAGGCGACCTACAACCGGTTGGCCTTTGTCCTTTACCGTGCGCACTCAGGGCGGATTGTGGGCCCTGTGAGCGGGCCTCACGGGGGTCGGTGGGCAGGCCCACGTTACCTGTAGCGGCGTGGGCTGTGTGGAGGCCACGGTCTGGCCCGGTGAGATCTGCTTGATGATGGTGGGGGCCACGCTCCTCGCAATCACGTGCGTCCCGGGGGGCTGCTCGGAGAGAGGGCGACGAGGGGTGGGGGGTAGTTGGTGGGACATGGCATACCCAGGTAGGTCAGCAGCAACCCGTTTACTGTTCTGCCACCTCTTGGCGCCCGGACAGCCCAGCAAGTTGGGAGTCGCGCACCCAAGACACCAACCCTTCCCAGCACCTCCGATGAGCACGGTTGGCTAGGAACGGTGCGAAAGAAGTTCCAACGTACATACATGCATCCCTTGCCTTCCAAGCGCTGGGATCGCAGGCGGGCGTGCGCCACCGCGCCAGGTCCGCGCCTGGCCGGCCTCCTCGCACGCAAGCGGACGAAAGAACGGCGAGGGGGGGAGGTCCTCACCTGGTGAATGGGCGGGAGACGAAACTGCGGCGCGGCTCCGGGAGTTGCTGGCCTCAGCTGCTGCAGCGCCGAGTGGGGCAGCAGGATGAGGTGGCCTTCCTTCTGCACGAGCACCATGCCTGCGGGCACGCAGCGGTGGCACGGGGAGGGCGGTGAGGGGGCAGCAACGGCACCGTGGCACAAAACGCGGAGGCCGCTTCTGAGAAAGGCAGGCGCCACACTCAGCGGCTGCCTCGGCGGCCGGCGAGTCGTTGGAAAAGGACGCGCGTTTGGTACGCGCGAGGGAGGTAAAAAAAAAACTCAATCATCTACAAAAGCTCGTTGTTCACAGTGGAGGGTTTGTTGATACTAGGTCCAATCAGTGAGTTGATTCATGCGGAGGTGACTAAAAACAGCGGGGTACACGACCTGTGACTAGCACGAACAAAGAGGAAAATGCAATTGTTTGGCAGTGTCACTCCGAGACCATGGGGACATTTCCGTGTCATCCTGCAGGGCCTGGTGGAAGGCACGAGGAGGAGAGGTCGCCCAAGGTGCAGCTGGGCAACGAAAGCAGCGACTTGGACATGGAGATCCGCAGCAGACGTCGTGCAGATCGCAAGAGACCACGAGATGTACGAGCTAGAAGAGCCGAACGCCACATTGGCGTCCCCACAATCCCTACAGTTAAGAGACTGACGATGCTGACGATGATGACGTGTATTGAACGGATGAAGTGAATGATGTTCATTGCGGTGGAGATGATACAAGAAAAACTATCAGAGTCAAGGATTGTCAAGTATTCCAAAGAAGCCAGGATCGGTTATCTCAAGCGAGCGGATTGCGGGTGATAACGTCTCTCCAGCACATCCCTCAAATCACACCTCGGCCACGTGCGGTAGTGCGCACCGGTGGTCCAACACTTCGGAGGCAAGGGTTGGCGGATCGCGCTGCTATTTGTGAAACGCTCAATCCCACCGGGCAGCGAGGTGACCAGATGGCGGCAACACAGCAGGCGGGTTGTCCACACGTCTGTGCACACCTCTGACTATTCATCCCCTCGTGCGTGCGAGATGGGTTTCATACTCCGGCTCCCTCCCCCACGCAAACATTTCTTCAAAAGGGAATTTGTCAGAAGTCCCAATGTGAGGACCCTTCCGAAAGTATCTTGAGACTCGGAGAAGGTTTCCTGGGTAAATACATATAAATGTTACACGTTAATTGATTCCGATTAATATTGGCAGCGCTTAGATATCCTGATTCACGGCCAGAAGGCCATATGTTGAAAGGTGGCCGGGTGGTTCAGGGATTAAAGCAGTGAGGCCAGAAAATTATGAGATCCTGGGTTTGTGGTGACCAGTGTATTGGGTGAATGGTCTCAGATCAATCACCAATGACGATACAAAAAAAAGTCATCATTAGATATTTTCCTGTCCTGATAGCTAAATTGGTTCTAGTGCCATACGAGGAATATTTATAAACAGCAAGGCCTGCGGAAAAGTACAACAGGCCATATTTTAAGGATTAGAGGTTACTTTGCAGGGATCTTAGAAGTAGTTGTGATATCTCCTTTCTCGGGTTGTTATCCAACAATGATGCACTGCTCTGCAATAATTGGCTTTGTTTCACGACTTAACGCCAAGAGCACGATTTTAGAGAAAATTAAGACAAAGAATTTTTTAAAGAGGTAAGGACGTCACAACCCAGTCAAGGGTCAACATAAAAATGAATAATTCATCCCATCGTGACCCTGATTGGTGACATTTCTTTGAATTGCCAAGGAGCGGTGCAAGCGAATGGTTAGACCTGGAGAAACTCACGCATATGTGGGCATATCACTCAAAGATCTGCACAGATGGATTCACGAACACTCTTACTGCAGTGCCATTTCCTCGCCATCACGTAGCCTGCCACCCGTGCCTCCAAAGCTCAGGATCGCAGTCATCTCGCGCCACCAAGATGTAAACAGCACCCACTCGAACCCATTGCCACACCGCGCCGATTAAATAAACTGCTTCCACCATCGTCGTCCCGCTCACACGGAGGGGCCGAAGGCAGACGGCAAAGTCACGCCGAGAGTCGATCACACACACGCGCTTGACGCAAGTTACAGCTGTCCCTAGCGCAAGCGGCGGTGTATTGCCAGAGGTGAAGTCCAGCCGTGGCAGGAGAGGCCCGCGCGCCGGCCGTCTACGCGCTGGCTCGGGGCGCGAGGCGGCTCGCGTTTATTAGCCGGCGTCTCATCCCCATTGAGGAGGAGGCGCCGTCTCATTTGTGGACAGAGCTCGGCTCAGCGGTTGTGCCAGTGCAGGGCCAAACACCGCGGCTTTTACAGACTCCAACTCGGAGCTTAATGGACAGACAAGGCACATTCTAGCCTCATAATCTATTGATGACCGCGAAAGGGGTGCACGTGAAAGTTATAGGCAGTCACCCAGTCACGCAGAACAACTCGAGTGGAATTTTCGCTTAGATTTTCACTGAAAAGTAGTGTAAGCTGTGCGAGAAACTACATCAGCTAGGAACACCGGCAACATGGCACACAAACACCACACTGGCAAAGAATACCGTACGGTCCATTTATAAATGCCCCACTAAAATAACATGGAAAAATGAGAGAAAACAACACTCCAGCTCAAAGCCTCTACACGTCACCAAACCGATCGCATTACCTATTAAATGTATTAACACTCTCCCCTGTAAGATATAGACCCATGGTTTTCTCAATCTCTTTTTAAGAAGACGGTCAGTGGGATATTTATAAACGGGGTCATCCTGTATTTCCTCCACTGCCCATTACTGTGTCTTCTCTTTGAAACGTTTGTAAATGCACCTTTCTGTAGCACCATCTCCTTAATGTACCTGTAGCCACATACTCCCATAAAAAATCTTCCCTATTTTCCCCCCACTCTGGGTCCCCTTTTTTCACAAGCGCCACTATTCCATCCAGCATCTTGAGACGCAGGAACGGTTCGATGCTGCACAAATCTAAATCGCGATCATTCTAGTGCAACCGTTCGCAGCAGAACAGGATAAGCCTGGCCCGGCGAGGCCTTGGCTTGGAGAAACTGAGGAGCTCGATGGCTAGGAGGCAAGAGGCTGGGAAGCAGTCACATTTACACGGGACGCGGAGTATGTTATCCCAAAAGGGATCTCACATAATTGCAGAGGATATCACCACTTCACATTTGTATTTTGTATTTTTTCAATTCTAATCCTAATGTTGCATACCATGATTCGGCATAATGTCATTAGACAGAGTATCTGTTGCCAACGCTCGCAGAGCAGTGAATCGCCCGTTGTGCTCAGGAACGGGCCATGGAGAAGACGTCACACAACTCCTCCAGAGATTCCTTCAAGTGAGATATTTTATGTGCTGCACCCTACTGTTGCAGCTGCACATTTTCAAATGCACCGCCAGAGAGAAAAATGTTTGCCACATGCCAATTAAACCTCTAAATGTTTTAAGAAGAGGAGATGGTATCTTCCTAAATGTAGCTTAAAACAACATTAATTGTGTTTTTTAAAGCAGTCATTAGTGTCTGAGCTGACATCATCAACTTGCTGAGAACCCGGATTATTGACAGGTGGCCAACATCCAGATTTGAACCCAGGACCTCAGAGGTGCCGGCTCAGCGCTCGAATGCCTAAACCACCTCCGGCCTCCTCCACCGATGATCAAGCTGCACCGTTCACTCCGGTGCGCACAACGGACTCCGTGCTCTTGTGCGGCGCGAGCAGCGGGGAAAACAGCGAACACCTCGCAGGGAGCGACAACAGTCCTCTCATGTGTTTCTTTACACAAACGTGCACCAGAGTTTCATCCAATTACAAACCTCCCGTCAGCGGTCCTTTGCAATTAATGAAATATGAAGGGACACCGCTACTTTGGCTCTCTGTGGAGTTTAGGGTTAAGGGTTAGGGACTATTGTTTATGGATGAGGGTTAGGGGTTCGGATGAAGGATTAGGAGTTCATGTTTAGGGTCAAGACTAAGGGGTAGGGGTAATAGGTTATGGTTTAGGGACGCGAGTACTCAGGACGGCGGTTCTTGCCAAGGCTCTGCAAACAGCAGGAGCCTCGGCAGTAACTAAAATCACACGAGGACACGGAAGGGAAACGTAGAGAGAAGCACGATGACAACACACGTGTCTTCAGACCCGCTTAACGTTCCATCACCGCACGCACGCACACGCACAGATCTGTTGACCCAACGTGTGTGTGACGCCAGCTCGTCGTGTTTCTGTGGTTGAACGCCAGGCGCCCCGATCCGCGACTCCACACGTACGCTCATTACCAACGCATGGCACACGAGACCTGTCAACTCTCCACGGAAACCCACTGTGGCGGCGGAGAACACGAGTTTACATTGAACATTCACACGCAGCTGAACCACACAAAGACAAAAATCCCCCGGATAGCCTGTAACAGGCTGTTGGGAGCAAGTGCTGTTCACGAGCACCTATGAAGGCGGACACGGCACACGAAGGAGTTGGGTGGCCAACACCACGCCCGGCCGCTTTGTCTCCCCAGTGCTGTGTTGTACACATCGTAACAAGGTACTAATTTCATGGCTGAGTCGACCTCGGGGAGGCCCAAAACCAGTTCAGATATTCGTCACTGATGTTGACCTTCAGCGGCCGGGTTCGTCGTGTGGTGTGCCAACAACTGCACTACCACTTCCACAAAGAGTCAAAAGTTACGGGGGGGGGGGGGGTTGAAGCGATGGTGCAGCGGTTTATGCACTGCGCTGGCAAGCTAGTGGTTATCAGTTTGATTCATGGCCACGGCTAACATCAGTGGCCAATGATATTGCAACTGATCCTGACCTTCTATCACACCCCCACCTCCCTATTGTTTTTCACCTCCCCAACCAAAACTGATCAGCGAGGTTTCAAATGAATGGATGGATGAGTGGATGGGCTCCTCTCTAGATTCGTGCAATATGACGCACGCAGCAGTAGCAGTGGATAAAGAATGAGAAGCCACCCAGCGGTTGCGTCTAAGACAGCCACGAGTTACAGCAGTACCGGTGAACCTCACATGCGAACCGTTAAGCAGTGCTGCAAGACGTGACCCTGTGAAAGGCAAGACTGTGGGTGTTATTACATCTCTAAGTACACAGACAGACAAATTGGTTATTTTCAAAACATTCCGTCCTTTTGCTGCCGATGCTGAATTCCACGTGGGCTCATTCCGCCCACGGGCACACACGCAGCCTCAAGTCAGCTGACAGCACCTGCATAGGTTCAGCATGTAGACGACATCTACCTGTCTCACGCTCTGCACTGTTCCTCACCTGCTTCTCGTGCACACCTACCCACGTCGCCCCTCTCCTGCACCTCTCACCTGCCGCACATCGCCGACAGTCCCATTCACCTTCTGCCTCTCACCTCCCGCTGCACACCGTCATCTCTCGCGTGCACCACACCTGCACGTCGCCGGCTTCATGTCAACTCATGCACCCTGCTGCACCCTGCTGCACCACGCACGTGGCCAGAGACTCTCTTGTTACCTCTCACCTTGCCCCTGCCATCCCTCACCCGTCACCTCTCACCTCCTCGCTGCCACATGGAGTCCCATCACCTCTCACCTACTAGGGGGCGATACCACAAGCCGGGGCCGGGCTCGCGTCAGCAGCGTGTGCGCTTCTCACCTGGCGGGATTGTGAATCCGGGCGGCAGCTGCACCATGGTCTGCTGCTGCTGCTGCATGGGCCGCGGCGCGATCACCTGCGGGGCCATCACGCGGTGCACGGGGGGCACCAGCGCGGGCCTCAGCTGCGCCGGGGCCGTCACGGCGGCCAGGGCGGGTTTCGAGACGCCGGGCTGCGGCCCCTGAGGGGTGGACACTGGGCTGCTGCTGCTGATGATGCTGCTGCTGCTGGTGGTGGTGCTACTCACTCCCACGTGCAGCTGCAGCTGCTGCTGCTGCTGCTGCCCGAGCAGCGCCCCGTGTCCGTGCTCGGCTCCGTTGAACACGGCCTGCTGGGGCGGCCGCGGGGCGCAGCACGCGGGCCCCGCCGCCTGCTGGGCCCCCGCGCGCGGCGGGTTCGCGGCGGGGCTCGGGGTCCTCAGCCCGTTGCTCGCACAGCCCGGGGAGGACCCCCCCAAGGGGACCCCCAAGGGGGTGGCGACCGCGGGGGGGGTCGCCGCGGGGGTGGTGACGGCGCTGCCGTTGAGCGTGTGCGAGACGGGCGAGGAGATCGCCTTGGTCGCGTGATTCAGCAGCAGCGGAGACGGCGAGGAGGAGGAGGAGGAGATGATGGAGGAGATGGGGGAGATGGTCGCGATGGACGACACCGAGGAAGAGATGGAGGCGGTGAGCGCGGGCGCCACTGTGCTCCCTCCAAGGCGGCTCGGGTGAACCTGTGCAGCACCACCAGCACCACCTCCTGCTGCTGATGCTGATCCCGCTGCTGCTACTGCTGTAGCGGCAGCAGCGCCAGCAGCTCCGCCTCCTCCTCCTCCTACAGAAGTTATGATGACCGGCGTGGAGGCCACACATCCAAACGTGGAGTTCGCAACGGTGACGCTAATTGCAGCTGCTGCTGCTACTACCCCGTGTCCCGGAGGTCGCTGCTGCTAGCTGCTTCAGCTGCTGCTGCTTGAGCTGCTGCTGCTGCTGCTGCTCCCTCGCCGCTTCTCCACCACCACCACCGCCGCCGCGGGCCGCGTGGTTGTTAGCGATGAGTGCCACCCGGGCGCCCCCGAGGCGCGACTCGAGCGAGCCCACGAGGTCGCTGACCGCCTTCTCGTCCACGTCGCGAGCCAGCATCTCGTCCAGGGGGTCCGCGGCCGCGGCGCCGCCGACTCCGGCGGCTCCCGCGCCGCCTCCGCCGCGCTCGGCCCGGCCGCTCCGCTCGCCCCTGCCGGACGACGACGCCGCCGCCATTTTGCTCGCGCGCGCGCGCGGCGGCCCTGAAGCCCCCCCCTTCCCCCGCCCCTCACTCCCCCGGAGGCCCCGCCCCTCACTTGCCGCGAGCCCCGCCTCTCGACGCCCCTCCCCTCGCCAAAACCCGCGAGCCCCGCCCCCTCGCCCTCGGTGCTCGCGCCTGGCCCTGCCCACCGGATACGCCCCGCACCCCCCCCGAGCCCCGCCCCTCGACTTCCAGCGTCCCTCCCCTCGAATTTGCTCCCTAAAGCCCCGCCCCTTAAGCTTCCCAATCCCCCTAAACCCCTCCCCGCGATTATCATAACCCCGCCCCATCCTCCTAGCCCCTCCCCTAAAGCCCCCTCCCACTCAAGCCTCGCCTCCTAGGCCTCCCCCCACCCCTCCCTCGCAATCCCACCGACCCCCCCCTGCGCATGCGCTCTTCGCCTCCCGCGTGCATTGTGGGTAGTGGGGGCGGAGGGTGCGGGGGAAGCCCCTCTGACGTCACCACGGGGGTGGGGCGCGCGCTCGTAACACTCGAAGCGGCACGTGGGGGCGGAGCTTGCTGTGCAAGGGGCGTGGCGGCCTGCTGGTGACGTCACCGGTCGCTTTATAAGGACAGGGTGGGTGAGGCGACGAGGCAGTGCAGCTGGTGCGCTCTCACTGCGTCGGGCCGTCTTTAGTCTGAACCTGTAGAATGTAGATTAATGGTTGTTCCCTTTTTTTTGTCAACAAAACAGGTGTTAAGATGTTAAAACACCAAACTGAAACCTTGTACAAGGAATCATGTCTGCATTAACCACATTGCTTGTGGTCAGAATGCAAACAAAAAACATACTTTAAACTAGTTCTTTCGGTAAAGTCACGTAGAAGGGAAACAATAAAATAATAAAAAATATATAACAATAAAATTCTGATAATATAATGCATTGTCCTTGAAACTGATTGGTCCACACCAGAGACTCGTCTCAAACGGTGTTAGGCCAGATGATGCCTATTATTGTATTGTTTCCCTTCTACGTGACTTTACCGAAATAACCAACAATATGAATCCCTGCAGTCACGAAAGCTTTAAATCAAAATTTATACTTCAAACTGATTGGTCCACACCAGAGACAGATTTTTTTGGAGCCTCGTCGCAAACGGTGTTAGACCAGAGGACGCCAAAGGCCAAAGGCGTCGTCCTCTGGTCTAACACCGTTTGAGACGAGGCTCAAAAGAAATTTGTCTCTGGTGTGGACCAATCAGCGTCCTCTGGTCTAACACCGTTTGAGACGAGGCTCAAAAGAAATTTGTCTCTGGTGTGGACCAATCAGCGTCCTCTGGTCTAACACCGTTTGAGACGAGGCTCAAAAGAAATTTGTCTCTGGTGTGGACCAATCAGCGTCCTCTGGTCTAACACCGTTTGAGACGAGGCTCAAAAGAAAGCTGTCTCTGGTGTGGACCAATCAGTTTCAAGGACAATGCATTATATTAAAGCATGTTTTTTGTTTGCATTCTGACCACAATAATTGTGGTTAATGCAGACATGATTGCTTGTAAAAGGTTTCAGTTTGGTGTTTTAACATCTTAACACCTGTTTTGTTGCCAGAAAAAAGGGGAAAACCTATTATCATATTTTTCTACTGGCAAAGGAGGTCCCATGATGAACCTGTAGAGTTGCTGCTTGTTTGACTTTCACCATAACGCCTGTCCAGAGGGAACCATGGGGGTGGAACGTAATGTGCTTCCATTCCAATACAGCTGACTGGGGAATGATTTGCCTAAAAAGTACTCTATCGGAGCTAACATCATTTATATTCCCTAAAAAAGAAACCAATTGAAACGTAATATTTTAATTCACGCCCACCCTCGTAATGCCTCGGACCCATGTCGTTCAGAGGGGGTTCCTTGCCTGGAGGATGAGCAGTTCACCAGCATTGCTTCAAGCTAGCCCGATTGCTGATGAGACACTGCCCGTCGAAACAGGGGACAGAGTTGTTGCTTGTCTTTAAATAATTCTGCTGAACTGATGCACTCCCAGACGGTGGCGAGGTTGATGGGGTGTTTAAGAGAGACAGTGCAGAGTGCTTCAAAAATGTTTTAACACTTCTGACAATTTGTAACAATATCACAATAAATGTGCCTCTGGGCTCTGGAGACCACCTGGAGAAGATTACAGGCACGTGTTGACAACGATGGCGAACAAGTGGGAGACTCTTTAACACTTTTTGAAGCACCCTGTCCTTGCATTCGCTCTGTGGTCGAGGCGTCACCTCCGCTCGTCGACCCGGTGATGGTCAGGGCTCGCAACTCGGCAGCTCTGCCACAGTCACCACCTCGGCACGGTCGTCAACAACACCGTGGCCTGACATTAAAACAAATATACGAGACGTTTCGGGCAATGGCCCTTCTTCATAGTACGTGGAACCCGTTCAAAACAGGTGTGTTTAGATCAGCGTTCTTCATTGCCAGGTCCGCGGGCTACTGGCGGCCACTGGCGGCCTTGAATGAAGACTCCGACAAGACACGGCGGAGTGGAAACACCTCACACCACCACCATCATCATCACCATCATCACCATCATCGTGCTGCTGTCAACCACAACAATGGGTTCAAGTGTGTGGCGGCCCTCCTCACGCCGGTGATGTCTTATCGGTGGAAGTGCACCCCCCCACCCACCACTCTGAAAATTAGTGAAGAATAATAAGAGACCAAATAAAGAACTAAGAACAACAACAAAAACCATCACCACCACTATCATCACCACCATCACCACCATCATCATCACCACCATCACCACCACCATCATCATCACCATCATCACCACCACCATCACCACCACCATCATCATCACCACCACCACCATCACCACCACCATCATCATCACCACCACCACCATCATCACCACCATCATCACCACCATCACCACCACCATCATCATCACCACCACCACCATCACCACCACCATCATCATCACCATCATCATCACCACCACCATCATCATCACCACCACCATCAGCATCAGCGGCGGCAGCTAGCGGCGCTGGGGCAGGCGGCCCGGGCCGACGCCAGGGGGCGCCGTGGCCCAAGGCGCGGAACCACCGCGCCGACTACCACGGGGTCCTCCTACAACAGGGGCACTACCACGGGGGCGCTACCACGGGAGCGCTACCACGGGGGCACTACCACGGGAGCGCTACCACGGGGGTCCTCCTACAACAGGGGCACTACCACGGGGGTCCTCCTACAACAGGGGCGCTACCACGGGGTCCTCCTACAACAGGGGCGCTACCACGGGGTCCTCCTACAACAGGGGCGCTACCACGGGAGCGCTACCACGGGGGCGCTACCACGGGGTCCTCCTACAACAGGGGCGCTACCACGGGGTCCTCCTACAACAGGGGCGCTACCACGGGAGCGCTACCACGGGGGCGCTACCACGGGGTCCTCCTACAACAGGGGCGCTACCACGGGGTCCTCCTACAACAGGGGCGCTACCACGGGGTCCTCCTACAACAGGGGCACTACCACGGGAGCGCTACCACGGGGTCCTCCTACAACAGGGGCGCTACCACGGGGGTCCTCCTACAACAGGGGCGCTACCACGGGGGCGCTACCACGGGGGTCCTCCTACAACAGGGGCGCTACCACAGGGGCGCTACCACGGGGGCGCTACCACGGGGGCGCTACCACGGGGATAAACACCACCCTACTGGGGTAACAGAGAACAGTGACAACAAAGATGCCCTGTGTGCCTCCACCGCCGCAGCGGAGTCGCTCTTCTCGTACAGAGAGAGAGAAAGGACGACGCAGAGAGAGGGGGGGACGACTCGGAGGGCACCGGGAGGAGGAACCACAGACGAGAGGGAACGAAGCAGCAGCCACGCGGCGATGAGCCGGGGCCACCAATACATGGCTAAGCTCTGCGGTTCTCTACATATGAAGGTGTTAGCCAATTAACCGGAGCGCCAGGAGAAACCCCACGCGTGCAAGGGGGAAACACTCTATCCCCGCACAGACATCCGTGCTGTGCCGCCTTCCCCTGGCGAGCCAGGCCTACGGCACCTCCTCGCCGCCCACGGATAGAGGTTGTTAGATCACACGCCACGTCTGTGCGTGATCCACAAACCCCCGCTGCTGCTGCTGCTGCCTCCAGGGTGCTGGATTACAGGCAGCGGCCACGTGCAGCAGCGTCGCCGTCAACACCGCCACCCGGCTGTTGTATTGTGATATTTGTCTGTAATGACACACGTCTTAACACTTTATTGAAAAGCGTCGCAATCAGTTCTTTTGTACCTACAAATGCTAAATGAAGAGTAATTGATGACTGTATAGAAAGCACCGTACAGCGGTTCCGTCCCATCATCATCACCGCCTTGAACCCCCAGGCAGGACAAGGAACATCACGCACTGAGCAGCAGGCACTCACCCCCCGGACCTCTCAACTCGCGCCCTCTGTGCAGCTGTAGAAAAACCAACCCATCAGTAAGAAGTTTATGAAGAAGTGCATTGTGGTCCTCGAAACGTATCCCATCGCAGGACATCATTGGCCAGCGATGTGACTCAAAGCCCTTCGCCCGAAAACTTTGCGTGTGAATTTACCGTAAAAATCCCACACGCCCTCGGTTTCACGGTGGACATTAAGGAGTAGGCCACTGTGTGCTAGCGCCATGCTACAAATTTGCCGAATTTGAAAAAAATTCATGTCATCTACTCTGTCTGCCCCCTCCAACTTTTACACCGAAGTCTCCGATCAACATTCCTCAATGTCCATGGAATGCCGCCGTAACAACCGCGTGGCTCGGGCAGGCGGCTTTCGACAATCGCCGCATGAACACGACGCTGCCAGCACCATGGTGACCACGCGAGGGACAGACTCTGCCTACAGGGAGCATCGAAATGACGTGTTCTGGGTAAGGCTTGTGTAATATGAGCAACAATAATACTCATAACCGGATCTTGCCTGCTTCTAAATACAGATGACGACGATGGAAAAATGTGAACCTAGGTTGTGTGTGTGTGTGCATATGGTAAAATGCAGTGAGGATCTAAACAATGGCGTACTCTGTGTGTCTCTGTGTAATAAAGATGAGAGCG